ACTGAGCCATGATCACAACACTGTACTCCAGTCTAGGCAACATAGCAAGCCCATGTCTCAAACCACCTCTGGAAAACCCCCAAAACGTAGTGAGAGCCCCATTTCTACAAAAATGTAAAGGAGTTTAGGGGTGGATCCTGGGATTAGCAGGTGCTTGGTGAAAGGAAAAGGGAAGTCTGGAAACTCCTTGGGCACATGTAGTTATTTCTTTATGCAAACTCATGGGTCACAGGTGCAAATCTGAGGAATTTGTATGAAATATGCAGTGGAAACTCAGGCTCTGACATCAGCAGACTCATTCTATGCAAAATCTAGTTAGCTAGTTTTCTTTTAAAATCGGCTATCCTGTAAATTCAAGAATTTTTGTTAACTTTTTTAATCCTTTGGGGGGACAGTTTTAGCTTTTTTTATTTTTAAAATTTTTATTGTACTTTTTAAGTTCTGGAGTACATGTGCGGAACGTGCAGGTTTGTTACATAGGTATGCACTTGCCATGGTGGTTTGCTGCATCCATCACCCCATCATCTACATTAGGTATTTCTCCTAATGCTATCCCTCCCCCACCACCCAAGAGGCCCCAGTGTGTGATGTTCCTCTCCCTGTGTCCATGTGTTCTCATTGTTCAACACTCACTTATGAGTAAGAACATGCGGTGTTTGGTTTTCTGTTCTTGGATTAGTTTGCTGAGAATGGTTTCCAGCTTTATCCATGTCCCTGCAAAGGACATGAATTCATCCTTTTTTACGACTGCATAGTATTCGAGGGTGTATATGTGCCATTTTCTTTATCGAGTCTATCACTGATGGGCATTTCGGTTGTTTCCAACTCTATCACTGATGGGCATTTCGGTTGTTTCCAACTCTTTGCTACTGTGAACAATGCTGCAATAAACATACATGTGTGCATGTGTCTTTATAACAGAATGATTTATAATCCTTTGGATATATACCCACTAATGGGATTGCTGGGTCAAATGGTATTTCTATTGCTAGATCCCTGAGGAATCGCCACACTGTCTTCCACAATGGTTGGACTAATTTACACTCCCACCAACAGTGTAAAAGCATTCCTATTTCTCCACATCCTCTCCAGCATCTGTTGTCTCCTGATTTTTTAATGATCGCCATTCTAACTGTCATAGATGGTATCTCGATGTGGTTTTGATTTGCATTTCTCTAATGACTGGTAATGATGTTTTTCATATGTTTGTTGACTACATAAATGTCTTCTTTCAAAAAATGTCTGTTCATATCCTTTGAGGGTTTTTTTTGTAAATTTGTTTATTCGTAGATTCTGGATATTAGTGCTTTGTTAGATGGGTAGATTGCACAAATTTTTTCCTATTCTGTTGGTTGCCGGTTCACTCTAATGATAGTTTTTGTTGTGCACAAGCTCTTTAGTTTAATTAGATCCTATTTGTCTATGTTGGCTTTTGTTGCCATTGCTTTTGGTGTTTGGTCATGAAGTCCTTTCCTATGCCTATGTCCTGAATGGTATTGCCTAGGTTTTCTTCTAGGGTTTTTATGGTGTTAGGTCTTATGTTTAAATCTTTAATTCCTCTGAAGTTAATTTTTGTATAAGGTATAAGGAAGGGATCCAGTTTCAGCTTTCTGCATATGGCTAGCCAGTTTTCCCAACACCATTTATTAAATAGGGAATCCATTCCCCATTGCTTTTGTCAGGTTTGTCAAAGATCAGATGGTATAGATGTGTGGCATTATTTCTGAGGCTGCAGGTTAAGATGACATACACGGGTATCAGTCTCACTAGCAGGTGATCATGAACTTCCTCTCAAAGACCAAGATTTAGAACTGTCACCTACTTTACTGTACTCCAGGAGCTAGCTCCCATGTCCCACACTTAAATCTTATCTTATTCAGTGATTCCTAGCCCATCAGTGGAGATCTCAGCACCATGCTTTCAGCTTGTCTCCTTTGGGTTCTCTGGTTGTCAGCTCTTGGCATCAGCAGACTTTAATGTACACATATGACCAGCCTTTTATATCCACTGGGGGTGGCTGGGCACAGCGGTTCATGCCTATTATCCTAGCATTTTAGGAGACCAATGCAGGTGGATCCCTTGAGCCCAGGAGTTCAAGACCAGCCTGGGCAACATGGCAAATCCCCATCTCTACAAGAAATACAAAAATTACCCAGGCACGGTGGTGTCTGCCTATAGCCTCAGCTACTTGGCAGGCTGAGATGGAAGGATCAGTTAAGCCTGGGAGACGGCGGTTGTGGTAAGCCAAGATAGGGCCACTGCATCAAGCCTGGGCAACAGAGTGAGACCCTGTCTCAAAAAATAAATACACTGGTGGTAGATCAAGATGAAACAACCACTACTTCTGTAGGGAATTTGGTTCTACAGGGCGGGGTCCAGTTTCAGTGGGAATAGCTGGGATAAGTTACAAAAAAATGGATCTAATGGAGTCTATAGTTATCTTCACTCTGAGTCTCTGCAAGTGAAGATTCTCCTCCTCCTTGCTGATGGCATGACTGTGATATAATCAAATTTCCAATGTTTAGGATGGTAATTTAGTTGATTTTATAGTTGTTCTGTACCATCTTTGTTTTCTATTAATATTTGGACAGTGATCACAGGGCTCTCCTTTCTCTTTCACCTTTCTCTAGTACTTAGACAAAGGCCAGAGGAGGTAGCTCAAAACTAAGTCTGATCTGATGCTTAACCTTGTGATCCTTTCCCTTTCGATCGGGTCTTGATGTCTTGTCTTGAAATCTGGAAGCCCAGCACCCACTTCTCTCATGTTTCTTGGTCTTGGGTCCCAGGTTAAAAAGAAAATCTTACTAAGCATTTAGGTCTACAATTGCTATTCTCGGCCTGATCTAGCATTCTGGCCCCTTCTGGAAGAGGAAGGAGAAACATCTAGCCAGGTGATCCCACTACTGAACAGCTGACAGCTGTTGGGAGAGGCAATCCACTATGAACCCCAAGCATGCTTGCACCTCCTTGCTTTGTATGCCAAGAATGCAAGGTTCTGCGGTTTTTTTTCTTTTTTTGAGATGGAATTTCGCTCTTGTCACCCATGCTGGAGTGCAGTGGTGCGATCTTGGCTTACTGCAACCTCCGCCTCCTGGTTTCAAGTGCTTCTCCTGCATCAGCCTCCCAAGTAGCTGAGATTACAGGTGTGCGCCACCATGCCCAGCTAATTTCTATATTTTTAGTAGAGACGGGGTTTCACCAAGTTGCCCAGGCTGGTCTCGAACTCCTAACCTCAGCTGATCTGCCTACCTTAGCCTCCCAAAGTGCTGGAATTACAGGCATGAGCCACGATGTCTGGCCTCCTGATCACTTTTTATGCCGGCTATTCATTCCTTCGGGTTGTCTGCAGTGAGCAGCTTCAGGGATAAGTTAATGTCTTCTTCTGGAACAAAGAGCAGCCTCACTTAGTGCTTGCTATAGAACAAGAGGCTCGGCCAGGTGCAGTGGCTCATACCTCTAGCACTTAGGGAGGCTGAGGCTGAGGCAGGCAGCTCACTTGAGGTCAGGAGTTCAAGACCAGCCTGGCCAATGTGGTGAAGCCCTGTCTTTATTAAAACTACAAAAATTAGCCAAGTGTGGTGGTTGTGTGTACCTGTAATCCCAAGTACTCCAGAGGCTGAGGCATGAGAATTGCTTGAATCTGGGAGGCAGAGGCTGCAGTAAGCTGAGATCGCACCACTGTACTCTAGCCTGGACGAAGGCTCCCTAAGCCTAACATTCTTTTTCCTCTAACAAAACCCACTGCCTGTGCAGGCATCCATCTGGGCCCTCTGCACTGTACCTCTAGGGCTTGCTGTGCTGTAATCAAGTCCTTTGTCTTTATCCCAGGAGTCTCATGAAATAACAGACCTACTTAATTAGCTTGCAAGAAGGGTACAACTCCCAGGCCATTGATAAATAACCTTAAAATTGTGATATACCCAAGTCACCTGCTTTTCATTTTTAATATTTAAATACTTTTTATAGTGACAGTCTTGCTATGTTGCCCAGGTCTTGATCTCCAGAGATCAAGCATTCCTCCTGCCTCGGACTCTCAATGTGCTGAGATTAAAGGCGTGAGCTATTGCCCCCAGCCCAAGTCACCTGTTTTTCTGATAGTAATCTGACAATTTTATGTCTAACACTTTTCTACGTGGTCTTCAGAGCTGCCAAGATATGAGGCAACCTACAAGGTCTAGGGGTTGGCAAATTATGTCCTTGTTTTTGTAAGTAAGGTTTTATTGGCACACAGCCACACATTCACTTATGTATTGTCTATGGCTACTTTTGTGTTATAACAGCAGAGGTAAACAGCTGTGACAGAGACCACATGACCTGGAAGCTTATAATACTGGCTGGCTATCTATCCCTTTAAGAAGTTTGCTGACCCCATCAGAAGTCATTTCTCATCTTGGGCAACGGACCACATGGCAAAGCATCTTTGAAGGTGAGCTTAGTCTGTTTGAAAGCCAAGATAAGACTTTTCTCCAAATCTGTAAATGAATATAGATTTATCAGTAATTTTTTTTTGAGATGGAGTCTTGCTCTGTCACCCAGGCTGGAGTGCAGTGGCTCAGTCTCTGCTCATTGCCACTTCTGCCTCCCAAGATCAAGCGATTCTCCTGCCTCAGCCTCCAGAGTAGCTGGGATTACAGATGTATGCCACCATGCCCGGCTAATTTTTGGTGTTTTTAGTAGAGACAGGGTTTCACTGTGTTAGCCAGGATGGTCTTGCTCTCTTGACCTCATGATCCACCCACCTTGGCCTCCCAAAGTGCTTGGATTATAGGCATGAGCCACCACACCGGTCTATCAGGATATATTTTCTACATGGTACTTCATTTAGGGGTTATCAATCAGTAGGGGCCAAGTATTAAGAGCTATACAGGTAAAGACTATAGGGTCTGACTAGAAAACAGCCCATTTCCAGTACTAGGTGAGTGATTAAAACAAACTGTATCAGAAGAAAGCATGTGGTCAAAATTGCTACTTGTGAACTAAAACAAAGGACACATTCCCACTAGAAAGGAAATAAATTTTAATTCATTGAAAAGTGCAGCAGTGAACAGGGTCCTTTTGAAGGGCACTTTCTAAGTCAAATTACTGAGATGACATAGAGCAAGGGCAGAATAAGGAACAGAGGATGCAAACACAGGAAGTTACAAAATTCAGTGGGAATTAAGTGGTGGTAAAACTCAAGAACCCAACTCTACCCATCTAATTCGACTGGTGGATCAGTTGAAATAACTTTTGCTTTCTTTAGTATGAATCCTGGGACAACATTCCTTTTAAAAAAACAAAACACTAAACTTAGACACTTAGGAACACTTCTCATAGAATAAGGTGAAACTTCCATGGCTATCATCATCTTTTTGTACAAGAGCCCTAGTGTTGTCAATTAAAATGTGTTTGCAGGCCGGGTGCAGTGGCTCACACCTGTAATCCCAGCACTTTGGGAGGCCGAGGCAGGTGGATCGCCCGAGGTCAGGAGTTCAACCAGCCTGGTCAACATGGTGAAACCCCATCTCTACAAAAAAATACAAAAATTGGCTGAGCGTGGTGGTAGGTGCCTGTAATCTCAGCTACTTGGGAGGCTGAGGCAGGAGAACTACTGGAACCCAGGAGGTGGAAGTGGCAGTGAGGTGAGATCGCTCCATTGCATTCCAGCCCGGGTGACAACAGCGAGACTCCGTCTCAAAAAAAAAAAAAAGAAGTGTTTGTACAGCACCATATGTCAAAGATGCTCAAAAGGTGTTATCTACTTTGTATGTGAGGGAGAGCTTTGTAACAGGAAATTGTATAAGGCAAACTATTCATTCCTAAGGCCTCTGTTGATTCCTAATGTTTATATGGTTCTCTGCTCCGAAGGGCACCAACATGGACCTCACCTTCTTAACATGGAAAATCAAAATCTAAATGAATACAATTAAAAGGAAAGCTTCTTGCAGTGGGTCCCTTAAATACTACGAAAACATCAGTGCATTCTATAGTCTGTTAGACTATAAACTGAGGTCTCTTTATGAAAGATGACTTTAGGACAGATTCAGAATGAAGCCAGTCCAAGAAAAAAACTAAAACTGGAAGCTATTTGAAGGCTAGATAGGAAATATACCAAAACTAGAGGAGTGTAGAGACAGGGCCACACCACATCCCTCCACTGAAGCACACCCAGTGGACTGAATGTAAGAGCAGCGTGGCAGAGGTGCTATCAGCAGCTGACTGTGTCACTCTTATGACTTCTGCTCTCAGGAACCAGTATAAAACTGAATAATATGACATCACAGTCCAAGACCTGGTAAGAGTTGCTTTCTTTTTATTTGGAAATAACTGTGGTCAACTTTCATTAATATGTAAGTTGACCGATAATGTTAAGAATCAAAGTAAAAAAGAAAGCCGAAACTCATATTCAACAATGTAGTTTGCTTTTAGTTACAACATTTTTTGAATTTCCTTCTGTAAAGCATTCACAGCAGAGGTGTTCATTTCCCTTGCCTAGATACCACTAGATACCACCACAGTTGCTGGGATCATGTGAGGTAAAGGAATAAATCCAATGGCTGTTAACCCATCATGACTATCTGCAATTCTGATAGAAAAGCTACTTTCAGCCATGTCTTATCAAGTGCTTAAAGCTGGACAGAAGACTTCAAATAAAGCTAAAATCACGCCTGAGTTGAGTAATTATAAACCACAGCTCTTCCTCCTCCCCTGCTGTCTCACCACAAATGAGCCTTCTTGTGAAGAAAACATTAGAAGTGGAATTGGTTTTTGAGCCAAGAAACCTAAAAATTTAGGTGTTCTTGGTCAGGTGTGGTGGCTCACACCTGTACTCCCAGCACTTTGGGAGGCCAAGGTGGGTGGATCATGAGGTCAGGAGTTTGAGACTAGCCTGGCCAACATGGTGAAACACCGTCCCTACTGAAAATACAAAAAGCAGCTGGGTGTGGTGGTGGGTGCCTGTAATCCCAGCTACTCAGGAGGCTGAGGCAGGAGAGTCCCTTTAACCCAGCAGGCTGAGGGTGCAGTGAGCTGAAATTGCCCCACTACACTCCAGCCTGGGTAACATAGCAAGACTCTGTCCACCCCTCCTCCCTGCAAAAAACAAAAGTAAAATGAAAAAAATTTAGGTGTTCTCAACAGTGAAGAAACCTAAATAGATGTGATTTTGACAGGGGAATACTGAATGGGGCTCTAATCACACAAGACTCCAAAAACTCAGGAAGAACCCATCTAAAAGGGAGAAGGTAGGATAAAGTAGTTGATACTTCACATCAACTACAAGAAAATTTTCCATCTTAAAACAATTGAACAGAATGACAGAAAAATGCAGAGAGAGTCAACGACTTCATGCATGGAACCCAAACTCAAGCTCCATGCTAGATAGGTACTTCCTTCCTTTATCCCAGGTGCAGCCCTTCCACCTGTCTGTTCAAGAACACTGTCTTCAGAAGGCCTTCAGAAGACACAACCTCTACCAACTCTTGGCAGTTCTTCCCTGGTGATGTTCCTACACCACTTTACTTTTCAGATCTCAGAGGAGAGTCTCAAAAGAAGAGAACTTTCCTCAGTCCTTCCAGTGTTAACTGGCACTCCTGTGGTTGGCAGCCACTGGAAAGTAGATGGTTATCACCTTCAAGAGCTACCTGGAATTGGCCTTTATCACAAGCTTGCTGCTCTAATTCAGTGCAGCACCAGCCTAGAATTCCCCGCCCCCGCCAAAAAAACAACGAACAGAGCTTGGGTAACATGTTTTGAATTTGCAACCTTACTACACTGTGATGGACATCATAAAAAATGTATCTCTACTAATCTATCAACAATGGTACTTGTTCTTACTTGGGTGATTCAGCTCTGATGGTTGTTCTTCAAGCCATGTGATGTTAGTATTTTTGATAGTGAAGTGCTCAATCTGAAATGCTACACAGGTCCTTCGATTTTAGGTCAAGCTATATCAAAAGGTAGGGGAGTGTGTGTGTGTGTGTGTGTGTGTCCTACAGTATTGCCATTTATCTGAATGGATTTACAAATTCAGACTTTAACCACATGGGGAATAATCAAGAATTGTGGCCCCAGGACAGAAAGAATATGGTGAGAACAAATACCTCAGAATGTCCTTATCAGCTGAAGAAGAGACCAGAGACGGCCACTCCTGACACACGGGCAGAGTTCACAGTTTAACGCATTGCATGAGGAAGTCAGCCAATGGGGTTGCTATTTCAAACAGGACTGAAAGCCAATCCAGAAACTCCTCCAGGTGTGGTCTTGAAGACTAGCTACAGACACCTACTACAATCACTTCATCAGAAAGAGGCGTGCAGGGATCCAACTGAAGAGGCTGTGTGAGGCTGCTACAGAAGATGTTTCGAAAATCTTCGAGTCCTGACACTGCCACGGTTGCTAAACATGAGACGGGGGTCAAACCTGTATCTGGGGAGGAAAAACCAACTGTAACATTAACTCTTGCTAGCTTCTCACTCAGAATATTATTCAGTGGAAAGGACAGCAGGAAGGGATGTAAAAGAAACATCACCAGAAGGGACTCTAGTGAGAAAGTCTATGGTACAAAGCAGCACTCGACAGTTCAGAACATTTCCATCCCCAATCAGCACACAGAGTCACACAGTGCAAGTCAAGAGGAGAAAAACAAGTAGGTTAGTCTTGAAAGGTGTCAGAAGTCAGCAAGATTTTTTTTTTTCTTTTGAGGGAGTAGGGGTGGATCAACTGCTGCATTATCACAGTACTTGTGTTCAAATCACCCTTATTTAATAATGACTCCAAACCACAAGGGTAGTGGTGCTGGCAATTCAGAAATGCCAAAGAGGAGCCATAAAGTGTGTCCTTTAAGTGAAAAAGTGAATGCTCTTGACTTAAGGAAAGAAAAAAATCATACAGCCAGACTGCTAAGACCTATAGCAGCCTCACCATGAGCATTAATCATTTTTGGTGGGGTGCTGGCACGGGGACAGAGTACAGTCTGTAGCCCAGGCTGGAGTGCAGTGGCACAATCTTGGCTCACTGCAACCTCCACCTCCCGGGCTCAAGTGATTCCCCTGCCTTAGCCTCCTAAGGAGCTGGGACCATAGGCGTGCACCACTACACCTGGCTAATTTTTGTATTCTTTCTTTTTGTAGAGACAGGGTTTCACCATGTTGCCCAGGCTGGTCTAGAACTCCTGGGCTCCTGTGATTTTCCTGCCTTGGTCTCCCAAAGTGCTGGGATTACAAGTGTGAGCCATCGCGTCTGGCTAAGAATGAATCTTCTATTTGTGAAATCATGAAGAAGGAAAAAAGAATTCATGCTAGTTTTGCTGCCACACCTTAAACTGCAAAAGTAAGGGCCACAGTGTGGAACAGAAGTTTAGTTAGGATGGAAAAGGCATAAAGTTTGTGGGCAGAAGACATGAACAGAACCATCTTCTGACTGATGGTGACTGGGCCTGCTACTGTTCTTGGGGCTTCCGCATCCACTGTGGGTCCTGGAATAGATCCTCTGTGGATAAGCGGGGACTACTGCATTTCAGAACAGCAACTGATCAAAGTTTTTTGTAAAGGGCCAGATAATAAATGTTTTAGGGTATGCAAGCCATCCAGTCTCTGTCCTGCCCATTCTCCTTTGCTGCTGAAGCACACAGAGCAGCCAAAACCAGGTAAATGAATATGTGAAGCTCTGCTCCAGCAGGTGGGGCTAGACTGCATTCAAAGGTTCTGGTCTGATGACCCCACCATGGAGGACTCAATAGGCCCAAATGTTTGATAGGAAAAGCATAATCATGGCTAAGGAATTTAAAACAGAAAATCAGGTTATGTTTAAGTACTTCAGGCTAATATCAGCAAAGCCAGCATCTAGAACTTTAGTTATAAGCTTCTAAAATGTGAGCAAGACAATTTGTTGCAGTTAAAAACCACACAAAACTTGCTTAGGAAATAGACAATGTATTTAATTCCTTATAGGACAGCCCTTGGGCAAATCACAACTCCAAGTTCAATTTCCTCATTTGAAATTTACCTGTTTGGGCTCTAAGGGTTGTATGGAAATTCAATGAATTCTAACACTTAGAGCCAGAGGTCCAGAAGAAACAGACAACTGGCTACATTTGCTTTGTACTGGCCAACCAGATGCCAGCCTGGCAGGTCCATGTCCTAGCAGTGGGGTGGTCAGGTACTGTTTGGCCACACATCATCATCCAAGAGATCCAGTCCCTTGACCCTCCATTTAAAATTTAGTCAGATGTTGGCTTTAAGTTCCCAGAGTCAGCCAAAGAGTATATGGTTAAAAAGCATTCACTGCTGTAGACATCTAGCTTAATACAGTTTAAAAGAACATTCTGAGCTAAGTAACTGCTGGAAATTGTGAAGTCAGCACATGGAAACTGGAAGTCTTGTGCTTTTATTTTAGGGAATCAACTTCCTATCTCAGGTAACTGGTACTAAGCTAGGATCTATTTCACTAACTTAGAGGAAAGATCAAAGCAAGGTGGTCAAAATCCTTGACGATTTTTATTGTACTAATGGGATTATCCATATAAAAAGTTATTTCATTTAAGTGATATAATGATAAATATTATCTTTTTATATTATCTGGTCTTAGTTTACTGGTATCTATGTCACTTTGGCTCTATATACATTATTTAAAAGCAAACAACATAGTCTATAATCGAGTTTTTCTACTCATTCACATTATTCTGTCTCTAATTTGGACTAAAGTTAAAATTTAACACCAAGATAACAAAAATTAAGTGATAACTTTCCATCAACTTAGGACATCATTCCTCTCTCTCCTACAGTCTGAAGGTAAGAGCTAAAATACTCCTTTCCCAGTGAAAGTTTGATTTTTAAACTTCATGACCTTCAAGAAAAAAATAAATGACAAGCTTCCTGCCACCGGCAGCTCAAATGCCTGGTGTACTGACACCCAGTGTTAAGGCTGAGAAGTTACTAAAAGGCATAGTGTGGGGAACAAATCTGACTTAGCAAACATCTTTTATACCTCCATATCCTGCAGTGGGCTTATACATTACAAGATGTGACCTTACACTTTCTGTTTTCATTGTGTGTTTAATATATTCAGCAAACATTCAAGTTGCTGTAACAGGGGTTTCTGAGGAATGAAATGAAGGCATATACTCTTGGAAGCTCTAGGGAACAGCAGCAGTGGGTCGCAGCTTAAAGAAGCCCCAGATGTCACCAGTGCAATCAAGTGGTACCAGGACAATAATCACGGCAGGAAAAGAAGAGCCCCAAATTTGGTGGGAAGCAGGGCTGTACCACTGGCTAAAGCACCAGCTGGCAGTGGAGAGCAAAAGTTTCCAAAGCTTATTTTCCTAGCACAACAGGCTGATGCACTAAGAACACAGTATTCCTCTAAAGCACAAGAATCATCATCATCTCACAGCAAAAAGAGCTCCCTTTGTTTTCAAGAACAGCATGACTAATAGAAAAAATCTTGCCCAAGTAAATGAAAAGAAAGGAAACTTACCTGGGGTCAAAAACCCCTGGAGTACGACAGGTTGGCCCAGAACAGGACTGTAGCATCATTAACCGATAGTTCATCTTTCCTAAAAGCTCTGGGTCTATATTTTTTGCAATGTTAGTGATTTGGTCTGGGTCTGCAGTCAGATTATAGACTTCTACAAACACCTAGAAGAAATGAAAGCATGGAGGAAAGAAAAGAGCAAGGGTTAGATGTGAGAAATACTCTTAACGTGACTTATTTCTAAATGGGAAGGGAAGAGGAAGATAAAAAAAATCATGGCCCTGGAGACTCAATCTGGTCTCAAGATCCTCAAAGAGCTCGCTGTTTCCTTCAGACGAGGGAGCATCTGTTCTGGGGGTTCAGCTGCTTCGGGTCTCCAGCCACATGCTAAAAAGAGGCCCCTGCACAGCCTGTACCTTCAGGCAGAGGCAAGAGGGGGATGGGGAAGAAATACATTATCTTCTGTAATTAAAATAGAACTGAAGGCAGGAACCTGCCATGGCAAGGTCTCAGAAACAAGACTTGGTAATAGAGATACTAAAGTGAGAGCAAACATTCAAAGATGATTTTTGCCACAGAATTGTAAACCTCAAATGAGAATGGATATGAAAGTACTCTCACCTATGTTACACAAATGTTAAGTTTTCTTATTTTAAAAAGTAGCTGTGGATATACTGAGGAAGGATACAGTACTAATTATCATTTCTAACATAAGACAGGTCAAACTGCAGTACTTTTCCCTCTATAATGTGTATGCTGTTTTCCAAATTGGAGTCAAATGTTAGGCTAGAAAGATGGTAGGTACTTTTGCCTATAATGGCTTCAGGCAGCTGCCCTCATACTTATAACTACTTATAAAATATTTATCTAACTGATAAATATCATGTGGGAGTGGGAAACAGGAATAGAGTTTGAGGGAAGCTCTCTTGCTTGTTGTCCAAAGTGCTTGTAAGTTGCAAATGGAGTGGAGAATGAGTCAGTTTCTGAGAAACACAGAGGGCATCTGCTCCAGATGGTCAGATGAGGGTTGCCAGATGGGGCAGGTTTGCATATGCTGATAAACAGTAAGAAACCACAAGGGACTAGAGTCCATGGGATCCTTCAGATAATCCGTATCAACCTGTGTCGGCCAAAAACCACCTTCCTCCATGGATGGACTCCTGGGCCTCTGACCCCCACTCTAATCTATTAGAGCAGCACTGGATAATGCTGTGGTGGGAATAGGAGTTTCTGAATACACCAGTTGCTGGTAAGCTTTCTAGGAAACACTCCAACTCAAGTGAAGTTGAGGTATTTCACTTTCACCCCAAACTATCAGGGAAGTTAACAGACAAAGCATGTATCATTCTGAAAACAAATCGTGAATTTAAACTGTGAATTTGGGTAGTAGTGGGAGTTGAGAAAACCCCATTCAGAAAGATTACAGTTAGAGAAGTGAGACATGGCCTTACAAGTGAAGGAAACCTAAATAAAGTGAAGCACAGATGAGAAACATAACCTCTTCCCTAGGGAGCAGCCTTGGAATTGCTCTTCTGCCACCAAGTCCAGCCAACAAAGCACCAGCAAGAAAGGAGTGGGGAAGTGCAGGCAGAAATCCATCTTACCTCCTGGTCATCAAACTCACAATACTGCAAATTCCACAATGCTGACATTGTCCTCACACAGGCATAGGTGTTGTTATAAGCATCTTCACATACGCAGTCTGGGAAACATTGCTGTAGGGATATTTTAAAAGTTAAATGGAGACAGTTCTTCCATAGTAACAAATACCTAGTTGCCTAGAAGAACAATCAGCTTGGCTCATGCCAGACATGCAATTTAATAGCAACCAGAAAACCTTCCATGGAGAAGCTAATAACTCAAACATAGATGTGCGGCACTGTTCCTTTGGCAAACTTGATCAAGGTATATGGGTTGTTCCCTTTGTAGATTGTGGCCATCCTTGTCTGCTAAACACTGACAAGAATTACTTATAATGAGCACCTGTAAAAGGTATGGGTTGGCAAGAAGAAGAAATCAACTCAAATGACTCATATCTAAGAATGACTAGTGAATAACTGTCACCCTAAAAAGTGGAGGAAAAGATTAAAATGAGGTTTGTGGAATCATATGCAGGTAACTTATTTGAGTGTTCTTATCACCAAGTATGACTTAAATCTAACTATGTCTACCATATGATCTGTTATTGCACTTTTGGTTTATATTATACTGTAACACTTTGGTGTTAGAAGAATCAATCAACTCCAAATGGAAGCCTATTTTCCCTCCTCCAAAGTGAGGCCAACATGGCTGTTACCCTCTTTGTGACCTGCCCAGCTGCTGACAATGCAAGGCACTCACAATGGCATGGTTACAGGCAGGAACCACATCTGTCTACTGCATGCCCCGGTAATATCCCTAATTTTAAAAAGTGGTACCGTTATTGGGAGGGGTAGAAAAACAGGGAAAAGTAATTGATAAGGTAAAAACATGGGTGGATACATGCACTTGTTACATAAATTGGAAGAATTAACAGTGCACATTCTGATGACAGGTCGGCAGCATCATTTCCAAGATTGCTGGATTTGCTTCTGTTCGTCTGCTAACCACCCACAGTCAAGTGACAAAGGAACAGGAGTCAGATGAAAGGTTTTACTACTTGACACATCGAAACCAGCACCTTGCCGTGCTGTCAGTGAGAAAGCTTCCTAAGTTGATTCAAGCCATTACTCACAGATACGCCAGGACTCAGAGAAGGGCATGTTGGGTCAGTGACGTTACGGCCTTCTCCTTGGTATTCCACCAGGACATCTGATCGCCAGGTCAAGTTACTGGCACCTCTCTAGGAAGAAGAGCAAGCCGAGTTTCTGTGAGGTACATAGATTATGACAAAGATCACAAAGTAACTGACTGCTGAAGGGGACTTGGGAGTCAAAAGTAACTAGACTGTTCATTCAGTAACTAAAGCGAATGACTAAAACAGGTGCATATGAAAGCTACTGAGTTGTATATTTAGTACTTAAGGGCCTTTACAAATGATGGTCAAATACTTTGAACATTTAATAGTTCCTTCCCAAGGGTACTTCTGTGAATCAGGTCAGGAATGGAACCTGACAAGGTAGCTAAGCAAGAATCAAAGTCACAGTGCAAGTTGCTGAAAAGTCCAGACTAGAATACATAATACTGTCATATGCTCTATTTAAGAACTAATTTATGCTCATACTAAGGAATGTATAACCTAATAGACACAAGGACAATAAAGAAACAAATATTCAATAGACCTGTGTGCTAAGGACTGTAATAGATTCAAAGCACCTCTTGATAGTCAGAATGCAGGTACAGTACATTAACTCACTCTTCAATGTACATTCACGGTGTGGAAGGAAAGAAGTGGCAGCATTTGAAAGCAGCAAGTTTAAGAGAGACACAATGGTGAAAGGAGAAAGAATCTAGGAATAGGAGCAAGTTTTAGATTAAAAAGCATGAACGTAGGTTGAATGCAGACCACTTGGTAGTGTGGCTTCCTGAAACCCAGCTTTCAGACAAGGAAACAGGGTGGAGAGGCAGGCTGGCACCACACGGGAAAAGGCCCCGAATATCAAGCTGCCTGGGCCTGTCCTATAAAGAACGGCAGGTGATGAGAAACAATAGGTTTTTGAGCAGGGAGGTAACACAATCAAAGCAGTGATTTAGAAAAGTCAGCCTCATAGCAGAATCTAGAGAGGGAATGGAGATATAGAAAGACAGGAAGACCAGGTTAGAAGGTGCTCTTAAAATGGTCAAAGTCTGGTTGGGAGCTTGTTTGAAATGCAGAATCTCAGGTCCTACTCTGGCTCTCACAAGCCAAAGCCTACATTTTAGTAAGACCTCTGAACAGCACTGCTCTAAAAAAAAGTGTTCTTAAAGTGTGGCTACCAGGACAAGCAGCATCACCTGAAAACTTTTTACAAATGCAAATTCTTAGTTCCTAACGTAGGTAGACAACAACCTAGGTTTTAGCATGTCCCACAGGCATTTCTGGGGAATGCCTGTTTAAGAATCACTGCTCTAAAGAATGCTTAACCTGGGTGAGGATGGTGGGGAATGGGTGAGATAGGAATTATTTCCTAACTTATTGTTAGGAACAATCTTGTGCAGCTCAGGATTTCAGAAATCATGAGTCACTGGAAACTTCAAAAGCTCATTGCTGGCTTGGCGCTGCAGCTTACCTGAGGTCAGGAGTTTGAGACCAGCCTGGCCAACGTGGTGAAACCCCATCTTTACTAAAAGATACCAAAAAATAGCCAGGCATGGTGGCACGAGCCTGTGGTCCCAGCTACTTGGGAGGTTGAGGCAGAATTGCTTGAACTCAGGCAGCAGAGGCTGTGGTGAGCCGAGACTGCACCACTGCACTTCAGCCTGTGTGACAAAGTGAGACTATCTCAGAAAAAAAAAAAGCTCCTGGTGCCAAACCTGAGTCACAGAAGCTGGAAAGTAGAATTGAGTGAACTTCAAAATCCCACACTTGAATGTCAAAGTATCCAGAGGAGAAAAGAACATCTGAGAAGTGTAGATCAGTGGTTCCTGAACTTTTGGATTTTTGAAGTTCCAGGGAAACTTCAAAAATCCCCAGGGATGGAACGATCCAAGATGGCCGATCGCTAACATCCCAGGATTGCAGCTCTCAGGGAAGGCGCGGAGAACTAGAGGATGCCACTTTCAGATAAAGTCTGGTCGCTCACGAAGCAGAAGATCCCCCAGTGGTGGAAACACACGAGTCGCCAGCGCGACTCTCGTGGTCGGCGCAGTGGTTCTGCTGGCACCTCGACGCGGCAGTGCTCGGCGCAGAGTAAACGGGACTGGTTCCCCTTCTGACCGAGGTTTGGAGCCCCGGGAAGGCAGAGTCGCCTACTACGGACACAAGAAGGAAGCCAGACAGGAGAATCCTGGGCAGAAAAGCACCATCAGTTTTAATGCCGCTGCTCTGGCCCTGGGAACTAACAACCTGGACGTCCACTCAAGAGACCTAATCTGAAAGTTGGTAATTTCAAAGACGACAGGAGGATAAATTAACAATGATGGGAAGAAACCAGCGTAAAAAAGCTGAGAATACTCAAAGTCAGAACGCCTCTCCCTCTAAAGATGATCACAGTTCCACATCAACAATGGAACAAGGCTTGATGGAGAACAAGCGCCTCCTGATGACAGAATCACTCTTCAAGGAATGGATAATAACAAACTTCGGTGAGTTAAAAGAACATGTTGTAGCCCAACATAAAGAAACTAGGAACTTTGAAAAAAGGTTACATGAAATCCTATTGAGAATAGACAACTTAGAGAGGAGTATGAGTGAATTCATGGAACTGAAGAATACAATACAGGAACTCCGAGAATTATGCACAGGTTTAAACACTCGAATTGTTCAAGCAGAAGAAGGGATATCAGAGGTCAAAGTCCAACTTAATGAAATAAAACGTGAAGAAAAGATTAGAGAAAAAAGGATAAAAAGGAATGAGCAAAGTCTCCAAGAAATGTGGGACTATGTGAAAAGACCAAATTTACGTTTGATAGGTGTACCTGAATGCGACGGAGAGAATGAATCCAAGCTGGAAAATACCCTTCAGGATATTATTCAGGAAAATTTTCCTAAACTAGCAAAGCAGGTCAACATTGAACCCCAGGTAATACAGAGAACACCACAAAGATATTCCTCAAGAAGAGCAACCCCAAGGCACATAATCGTTAGATTCACCAGGGTTGAAACGAAGGAGAAGATACTAAGGGCAGCCAGAGAGAAAGGTCAGATTACCCACAAAGGCAAGCCTATCAGACTTACAGCAGATCTCTCGGCAGAAACTCTACAGGCCAGAAGAGAGTGGGGGCCAATATTCAACATCCTCAAAGAACAGAACCTTCAACCCAGAATTTCATATCCAGCCAAACTAAGCTTCACAACTGAAGGAAAAATAAAATCTTTTATGAACAAGCAAGAACTCAGAGATTTTATTACCACCAGGCCTGCTTTACAAGAGCTTCTGAAAGAAGCATTACATACAGAAAAAAAGAACCAGTATTAGCCTTTCTAAAAATACACCAAAAAGTAAAGAGCACCAACAGAAAGAAGAATTTACACCAACAAATGGATAAAACAGCCAGTCAACATCAAATGGCAGTAACCCTAAATTTAAACTGACTAAATTCCCAATCAAAAGACACAGCCAAAACCCAACGGCATGTTACATCCAGACCTGTTTCACATGCAAGGATACACAAAGACTCAAAACAAAGGGATGGAGAAAGATTTACCAACCAAATGGAGAGCAAAAGTAAATAATAAATAAATAAAAAACAGGAATTGCCATTCTTGTATCGGATAAAATAGATTTTAAAGCAACAAAGATATAGTGGTAAAAGGATCAATACAACAACAAGAGCTAACGATCCTAACACCCAGATACAGAGACTTAGATTCAATGAGACAGAAAATTAATAAGGATATCAAGGACTCGAACTCAGATCCAGAACAAGTAAACTTAATATTTATAGAGCTCTCCACTTCAAATACACAAAAGATACATTCTTGTCAATACCACATCACACCTACCCATAAGTTTAAATGAAACATTGATTGGCCATTATTAATACCCAATTTTTTTCAAAATAAAGCAATATTTCCATTTACTCTCCCTCTTTCTCTTCCTCTCCTTTACTTATTTTTTTTTTCTTTCCTTCTCCCAAAAAAAAAGAAATCAACTTGTAAACCTCTAGATCCAGGTCGGCAATGTCTCTTTCATTGCTTGATTTCCTTTCTTCCCTTCCCTCCCTCCCTCCCTCCCTCCCCGCTTCCTCCCTTCCTTCCTTCCTTCATCCCTTCCTTCCTCCCTACCGTCCTTATTCCCTTCCTTCCTGCCTTCCTCCCCCCGCCCCCCGCCAAAAAAAAAAAAATCCCCAGGGATTCTATCTCATGCCAATTAAATCAGAATCTCTAGGGGTTAGGCCCAGGCATTAGAATTTTAGTTTCCAAGTGATTCTGATGTCTGACCAAGTTTGGGACTCATGGTCTGTAGGGGTCATTAGACTTTTTTAATAAAAGGCCACAGAGTAAATACTTAGGCTCCTGGCTCTGTCACATCTACTCAGGTAGCAGGAAAGCAGCCATCAACAATACATTAAGTGTGGCTATGTTCTGATATAACTTTATTTACAAAAACAGGGGTGGGCTAGATTTGGCCCACAGGTTGTAGTCTGCCAACTGCTAGTCCAGCAGAACTTTCTGACTAAAATGTTCTCTATCTTTGCTGTTTAGTATGATGGACACTGAGCATATGATGTGCAGCTAGCGCAACTGAAGAACTGAATTTCATTTTTAGTTAATTCACATAAATAGCCACACATGGCTATTTAACTGTTCCAATATATCAGTATTTCATCAGAATAACCTCTAGAATCAAAACATGAATGAGGAAAAGAACCAAGTCTCAAGTGGCACTTCAAGAACTGTGCAGAGAAATTATAGACAACATAATGATTTTTACCCCCTAAAGTGAATGAAGTTTTTTTTTCTAGTTAGAAACTTAATAAGGTACACAGTATAAGACTCGTATGAAGAAAGTTAAAAGATGTAACGTTTCCCATAACTGATCTATAGGTTAAATGCAATTCCAATCAAAAGCCAACATTTCTCAGGTAATCTGAAAAGCTGATTCTAAAGTTTATGTGAAGACAGGGGCTAGGATTCCCACCAGGACAATTAGCAGAGAGGTGCACCCATGTAAATAAAGATTTAGTTACACAGCTTTATAAGACAAAATGATATTGGTACAGAGATAGACAGATCCATCAAGGACTTGGGTATAGGAGGCAGAGCTATAAAATTTTTAGAAGAAAATATAGGAGAATAGTTTTCTGGCTTCAAAATTTAGAAGCATCTTTATAAATATACAAAGGACGCTAATTGTTAAAAGAAACAATATATACATTCGATTCCTGGAGTGCAGTGGTACAATATCTGCTCACTACAACCTCCACCTCTTTGGCTCAAGTGATCCTCCTACCTTAGCCTTCCGAGTAGTTGGGACTACAGATGCCCACCATCATGCCTGGCTAATTTTCTGTATTTTTTGTGGAGACTGGGTCTTGCCATGTTGCACAGGCTGGTCTTGAAATCTTGGACTCAAGAGATCTGCCTGCCTTGGCCTCCTAAATTGCTGGGATTACAGGCATGAGCCATTGCACCTCGCTCCCATATCTTAATATACGGAAAAGACAAGTCATAAATAAGGAGACTATCATAGGCAAAAATTGCAGAGGCATTTCTCAAGAGAAGAAACAAAATGGCATAAATGAAAAGTGATTCCCTGATCAACAACACAACTAAAAAAAAAAAAAAAAAAGGGCAAAGGATTCCAATATAAACACATCTCCAAAGAAGATATACAAACGGCTGACAAACGCATGATGAAATGCTAAACATAAACAGTCAGCAGGGAAATACAAATCAAAATCACAGTGAGTTACCACTTCACACCTACTAAAATAGTCACAAAGATAGATGATAGCAAGTGTTGGCTCATGTCCATAATCTCAGCACTTCAGGAGGCTGAGGCGGGAGGATTTTTTTCTTAGAAATCTTCTTGGATAACAAGGGAGGATCTTTTGAGACCAGGCTGAGCGATGCAGGGAAACCTCACTTCTACTTAAAAAAAAAAGCCAGATGTGGTGACTGGTGACTGTAGCCCCAGCTATACTAGGGAGGATGAGGTGGGAGGATCCCCTGAACCTGGGAGACTGAGGCTGCAGTGAGCTGTGATGGCCAACACTGCACTCCAGCCTGCGCAATAGAGCAAGACCCTATCTCAAAAACATTACAGTTGCATTATTCATAACGGCCAAAAAGTGGAAACAGCCCAAATATCTGAATGGATAAATAAAATGTGATATATTCACACACGGAATGTTATTTGGCACTAAAACGGAACAAGGTACGATGGAGATGATCCTTGAAAACATTATGCTCAGTGAAAAAACCAGAGGCCACATATTATGTAATTTATGTGAAAAGTTCAGAACAGACAACTATACAAACATAAAGTAGATTTGTGGTGGGAATGGGAGCAACAGATCGAATCAATTCCCTGCACCACTATTTAATCAATTCTCTACTAGATAATTTGGGTTTTCAGTTTTCTTCTATTACAGTGACTAATGTGTTTGGGGGTTTAGGGTGATAAAAATGCTCTTAGATTATAGTGATGGTTGTACAACTCTGAATATACCAACAACTACTGGACACTTTTTTAAAAAAGTTTATTTATTTATTTATTTTGAGATGGAGTTTCTCACTCTTGTTGCCCAGGCTGGAGTGAAATGGCGCTATCTCAGCTCACTGCAACCTCCATCTCCCGGGTTCAAGTGATTCTCCTGCCTCAGCCTCCTAAGTAGCTGGGACTACAGGTGCCTGCCACCATACCCAGCTAGTTTTTTGTATTTTTAGTAGAGACAGCGGTTTACCATGTTGGCCAGGCTGGTCTCGAAGTCCTGACCTCAGGTGATCCAACCACCTTGGCCTCCCAAAGTGCTGGGATTATAGCATGAGCCATCATGCCCATCGGACACTTTAAATGAGTGAATTGGACGGTATGGGAATTAAGTCTTCAAAAAATAATTCATGTTATTAACAAACAAACAGATTCACAGCAAGACCAAATGCCATTTTTCACTCACCACAGGCAAAAGTTAATTTGTCTGTTTTTGATATGTGTGTACTCTGAAGTGGTATGTCTTGTTAAACCAGCTTCCTGATAGGTTATACTGATCACACTTGTGTGAAAAGTGTATGAGTAGTTTCCAAATTCTCAGACTTCTGGAATACTGGGTATTTAAAGAATCTTTGCCAGTTCAGAGATGAAAAAGGTCTCCTTCAGTTAAGCATTTCTGTGATTAGCACTGAAGTAATCCTTTTGCATTTGTTTTAGCCATTTTTAATACTTCTGTGAGTTGATTAGCCACTTTTTCTTTTGCCCATTTTCCCACTGGGATATTAATCTTTGCTAAGAACTCATGTATTTGGACTAATGACTCTTTTTTACAATGACACAAATGTGTTCCCAAACTGTCACCTCTTTCTTTATGGTGGGTGTTCTTAGAGGAGAGCAAAAGGAAACAGCTCTCAATTTCACATGTGGTCTACTTTTTTATTTTAGAAAACTCCTTCCCATCACAAGATTTTCTGCTTCCCAAATTTAATAGTATTATTTAATATTTAAATTTTTAAGTCTTTACACAACCCAGAATTTATTGTGGTCTTGGCTCAGGCCTGGTTGAGGGCTTTATACTTACCAAAATGGGCAATAAAGACATCCCATCCATCTGTGTCTTATTTAGGTCGTAGCCAGCAATGTCCAAAATAGTAGGACCCAAGTCAATGTTGGCAACCAGCATCTATGAGAATGAAGGAAAAACAACCTAGAACACACTGGTCTCATTTTCCTTTTCTATCTATACTAAAGTTCTCTTCCCCCTGCATCCCACCCATGAAACAATAGCACTTACTATTACCTTTTATACAGCCCATGCTTACTTTAGTCTTACTGTTTCATATGTTCAAATATAACTACAATAACTTAAAATATAAAGGCTTTCAGGCGTGTATAATAGTATATCCCCCTGGGAAGTTACATATTTATTCTACCCATTCTGTTATTGAGCAAAACGTTTTTTAAAAACTCCTGTGTGATTGCTTTGAGTTTGTTGTGACTCATGAAAAAAATGTTGGTCCGATTATTTTACACAAAGCATCTTACAACTTGATTATTCAGATTAACTAAATTTGATTTCAAATGAATTCCAGACATTTTGGAAGGCCTCAAAAATGGAATGCTTGCCACCAATGAGAATTATCAGCTCTTTTTATAGCTTCTCAAAGGGACAACACTGCCAAAATATGTTTGCAACAGGCTGTGAAAGCTGCAGAAAATTTTTTATTTTTTGGAATTTATTTATTCCAACAATGTAGCAATAAAAGTTTAACGGCATAAAACTTAGATGTTTTTAAACATTCTAGAAACTAAAGGCATTGCCCTGTATTTATGCCTTATTTCCTTGATTATCAGACTGTTTTCCTTTTGTAAACAATGCCTCTATAGGGCCTAATCCAGAGTAGCCTAATAGAAATATAAAGGGGACCCTATATGTAATTAAAAATTGTCCAATAACCACATTAAAATAAACACGGGTAAAATTTTATATATTTTAACCCCATATAAAAATATCTGAATATTTCAATATGTAAACAATATTTTTAAAAAATGAGACTTAACTTTTTGTGAACTAAGTCTTTGAAATCTGGTGTTTCACAATAATAATACGTCTCAGTTTGGACTATCCACATTTCAAGTGCTCAACAGCTACAAGTGGACACTGCAGGCCTACACAGAACTCAAGCGTAGAAGTCACCTGGTCAGAGCCTAGAAAAATCTTTAAGCGGTGAAACAACCCACTGGGGGTAACAAACAGGAAGTGAGAAAAACTGGGAAATTTACTGTGCTAAGCATGTGATGTTCATTCTAATTTATTCCTTATCAGAGTCCTCAGACACAGTGTTTCCCCCATTTTATACACAAAGAAATGAAACACAAGAAATCACTGGAGCAGTTAACAGCTTATAACTGGAAAAGCCATCAGTTACTGACAGGAAATAACAGTCTTTAAAACTGTTGAGAAAACTTAGATCATTTTAGGAGAGGTCAAACAGAGAGAGATCAAACAAAGCAAAGCACCCCAACCCCACTTTCAATTTAAAAACAAAACCAAAAGTACAGATAAGAAAGGCAAAAAAAAAAAAAAAAAAAAAAAAAATCTTCAGAATATTATTATCAGGGGCCAGGTTTCCTGATGGCCAGGACAGCTCCTGGAGGGCAGAGTGATAAATATCCTGGCTCTCAATCAATTAGTCTAACTCTGCAGCTGTCAGAATTACCACTCAGAGGCAGGCACTTTAGGAGAAAGGCAATCCATATGTTACTGAAGAGGGGAAAAACCTCATATACAAAAACCATGTCTCCTGGGAGGATACAAGGCCCACTGTTACAGACAACTTTCCTGGTTTCAAATCCCACAGGCAAATTGACCAGCTTGGAAAACAATCATCAGGTCTAAATGTCAATACGGAAGAGATCACAGCAGGAAAGGAGGGTCAAAGGGAGACACCCTCTCCAGAATTAGATCAAAACAAGACATCCATAGACCCTGAAATGTCACTAACAGATCTTCAGTGATGCCTGTACCATGAATGAGGTGAAGCCAATTCCTCAGATACTCTATGATGTCCAAGGTACTTTTAAAAGAAAAGAGAAAAATAAAAAAACCTAGAGACATAAAATCGTGACTGCTATCTCACCAAAAATTGCAGAATCAACTACCTGTATAATGGGAGGCTTGCTCTTTTTTTTGGAGCTAGGGGAAACTTTTTGTTTTATTGAGTTTTTTTGAAATGGAGTTTTGCTCTTGTTGTCCAGGCTGGAGTGCAATGGCGTGATCTCGGCTCACTGCAACCTCTGCCTCCCAGGTTCAAGGGATTACAGGCATGTGCCACCACACCTGGCTATTTTTTTTTTTTTTGAGACAGAGTCTTGCTCTGTCACCAGGCTGGAGTGCTGTGGCACCATCTTGGCTCACTGCAACCTTCGCCTCCTGGGTTGAAGCTATTCTTCTGCCTCGGCCTCCCAAGTGGCTGGAATTACAGGCGTGCGCCACCACACCTGGCTAATTTTTGTATTTTTAGAGATGGGGTTTCTCCATGTTGGTCAGGCTGGTCTCGAACCCCTGACCTGAGGTGATCTGCCCACCTTGGACTCCCAAAGTGCTGGGATTACAGGTATGAGCCACAGCACCTGGCCTGTTTTGTTGTTTTTTGAGACAGGGGCTCATCCTGTCAGCCAAGCTGGAGTGCAGTGGCACAATCATAGCTCACTGCAGCCTTGACCTCCCAGACTCAATTGATCCTCCTGCCTCAGCATCCCGAGCAGCTGGGACTACAGGTGCACATCATGATGCCCAGCTAATTTTTCTATTTTTTATTTTTAGTAGAGATGGGGTTTCTGCCTTGTTGCCCTGGCTGGACTCAAACTTCTGAACTCAAGTGATTCACCTGCCTTGGCCTCCCCAAAGTGCTGGGATTATAGGCATGAGCCACTGCACCCAGTCGAGGCTCTTTCTAATGGCATTTTGCTCCCTGGAGAGAAAGGGATGACTTCTAGTGTAACTCCAAAATCACTAAGATCCAGCCCAAGTACCATAAGCACAAATCATTCCAGGACTTTTTCTTCCTAGAAATCTACAATTATCACATCCCCTTAAATATAATGGATAAATTCTCTCCTCTTCTAGAATTTTACTTGAATAAGCAGACAGTCTCAAAATGAGCATACTGTATCAGGAGACGGGAGATTTCTAGTGAATGCCAAGTATGAATGAAGAGTTAAAAAGAATTATACCTATCTCTGGTTTTTATATAATCAATAATTTGAATGGATTCACCCATCACTGTGAAGACTTTGGGAAACATTAGTTTCAGGGTATTTCTTTTGTCTAGTGTAAACTTAAAAATTCATTTATGGGCCAGGCACACTGGCTCTTGCTGATAATCCTTGAACTCTGGGAGGCCAAGGCAGGAGGATCACTTGAGCTCCGGAGGCCAAGGCTGCCATATTCCAACCTGGGTGACAGAGTGCCTATCTCAAACAAACAAAAACTTCATTTATGGATTGGAGCAGAAAAGGCTTTGACAAGACCCAAAATAATTTTTTTTTTTTTGAGACACATTTTTTTGCTCTTTTGCCCAGGCTGGAGTGCAATGGTGTGATCTCGGCTCACTGCAACCTCTCCCTCCAGGGTTCAAGTGATTCTCTTGCCTCAGCTTCCCAAGTAGTTGGGGATTACAGGTGCCTACCACCACGACCTACTTATTTTTGTATTTTTAGTAGAGACAAGGTTTCACCATGTTGGCCAGGCTGGTTTCAAACTCTTGGCCTCAGGTGATCTGCCTGCCTTGGCCTCCCAAATTGCTAGGATTATAGGCATGAGCCACCGTGCCCAGCCAAAATGATAAATTATTTCATAAATCACACTCCCTCAGGTTGAGAATATTCTCAGGATTTAAGTATATAAATATCCTAATCAAATGAAAGTCCCTAGAAAACCCTGGGGTAGACTGGCCATAGTAGTTCATGTAACGAGGCAAGGAAGGTTGATTGCTTGAGCCCAGGTGTTCCAGACCAGCCTGGGCAACATAGTAAAACTGCATCTCTACAAACAAAACAAAAATTAGCTGGGCATGGTGGTATGTACCTATAGTCCCAGCTACTGGGGAGGCTGAGGTAGTAGGATCACAAACAAAACAAAAATTAGCTGGGCATGGTGGTATGTACCTATAGTCCCAGCGACTGAGGAGGCAGAGGATGCAGTGAGCCAAGCTTGTGCCACTGCATTCCAGCCTAAGTGACAGATCGAGACTCTGTCTCAAAATACAAAAACAAAAAAATTCCTAGAGATTAATTCAAGGGGTATTATGAATTGAACCTGCTTATTCTTGCTCTGAAAGAATGACACTGTTGCATAATTACTGAAAAGAACAAGATGGCAAGGGGCTGTCAGAACACATCAGGTTTCCAAACAGACACCCAAATCCTGATGTTGAATCTCTCCAGGGTTATCAAAAAGGCTCCAAGCACACCAGAAAGCACCCCAAATCGATTTAGTGAAAAGCACTATAACTGCATGAGAAAGTTCAGAATCCTCACATTTTGGTTGCTTCAGCTGCAATTGCCCCTCAGTGCCAGCTTTCCTGACAAGGAAGAGGCTGGGGCATCACCTGGTCCCACCTGAGAATGGAGGCTTAACATTCTCTTACTTTCACAAAACTAGGAGAACCAAGGCTTATTTTGTCCAAAGCCAATAGGTGGTCTTCCTGACTCCCGGTTCAGTTCTATTTCCCCGGGACCATGCTGTATCATTTTAGTTTTCCTACTAACCTTTTCCTTTCTATGATTCCTTTTGCAGAACTCCTACCACCAAATCTAAAGCTAGACTAGTCAGAAGAGAAAACGTCCATAGCCAATCTTTGGCATCTACACATACCATCTTGCCCCAGTTCTTCCACACAGCCAACACATAGCTAAGTCTGCCAGTCAGTTAAATGTGCACTGATGTGGCTGTCAAGGCTGTTGACAGCTCAGCTTGGCTCATTATGCCCAACTCACAACCCTGTGCCATTCACACAGAATGGCTGGCACTGAGACAACTGAGCTGCCAACACATGAGGCATCACCCATCATCTCTGACATTCTTTGTGCTAGGGGAAAGCTGGGGCATTTCATGCTTCTCAAATTACACCTGTCAATGCAGCAATGTAAAAACATATGGATTCTTGCTGGGCCTGGTGGCTCACTCCTGTAATCCCAGCACTGTGGGAGGCCAAGGCGGGCGGATCATGAGGTCAAAAGATCAAGACTATCCTGGCCAACATAGTGAAACCCCATCTCTACTAAAAATATAAAAGTTAGCTGGGCATGGTGGCATGCCTGTAGTCCCAGCTACTCAGGAGGCTGAGGCAGGAGAATTGCTTGAACTGGGGAGGCAGAGGTTTCAGTGAGCTGAGATTGCACCACTGCACTGCAGTTTGGGTGACAGAGAGATTCTGTCTCAACAAAACAAAACAAAACAAAACCACATGGATTCTGAGAATGCACAGACTTAATTTTTTAGTCCCCGTTCTGCCACTTTGCAACCTTGGCAAAATCCATTCAACCAATGAGGATGTTCCCCAGTGTATGCTAGGGGCTTTTAAGTTTAGATAGCTCCTCTTTTCTAGGACACCCTAGACTAAAAAAGACAAACTCAATAGGGTGTGACAAATGTGAGGCCAGCTGGGAACATATAATAAGGGCGTCGGCCCCATGTGGGAGCAGCAGTAGGAAGTGACTTCCCAGAGGGAGCCCTAAACCAAAGCCCTAAGGACAATTAAGTTGGCCAGCTGAAGGGGGTACGAGATGGGCATTCCAGAAAGAAGGAGCAGTCTGCTGACACAGTCTCCTCGATCAGTTCCAAACACCAACCTCAAAGGCCAGGAGGTGAGAGAGAAGGTGCACTTAGGAAGGACAAGGAATTCAGTACAACGGCTACCTTCCATCTGTTGAACAAGCCTAGCTTATCCCTACATCTGGGCCTTCACATTTACCGTCCTGCAGGACGCTCTTCTCACGGATCTCTGCATGGCTAAATCCTTCTCAATAGCTGTGTCTGCTCAAATGCCTCAGAGGCTTTCACTGACCACTATAGCTTAAGTATCTGATGCTCCCTGACATAGGGATTGAAGAACTGATCTTGTTTGCTTGCTCCTTGCCATATACAAGGCTCCTTGGTGTACTGTGCTGGCAAAGAAAGTAATACTTGTTGACTGAGCTATAATATAATGGTTAAGTATATAGACTTTGGAGCCAGACTGCCCCAGTTCAAATGCAGGGCTCTGCTGCCTTTTAACTGTGTGATCATCTTTTCTGCTTCAGTTTCCTCAACTGCAAAAGGGTAACAGTACCTCTATCTCATAAACTGAGGATTGAGTGAGCTGATTCAGGTAATACACTTAGAATAGCACCTGTCACATTAACTAAACACTCAATAAATGTTACCCATATTGTTGAAATGGCTTCCTAGGAACCAGACTTCATTTAGATTGCTCAGAGAAGGTGAAGTTTCTGATTTTTAACATTTAAATAGCAATATTAAAGGACAAAAGGAACCATTTTTTCCACAGGCAGTTGGCCGACACATTTCACTATGATCTCATTCAGCCTCCTTCCCTACGCTGGTTCTATGTGGGCTGGGGGAGCCCTGCTCCCAAAAACAGAACATAGCTGCTAACATGTTCTCCTCAATCAGTTCCAAACACCAGCCTCAAGAAAACACTTTTAAGATTTAATGGTCTTCCAAACTTGCGTATCTCCTTTGAAAGAGGAAGCCTGTTTAGAAGGCACTAAAATTTGTAGAGAAAAGTGACTAGCTAGGGAACATGAGTCTTAAGAGAAAAACACAAAAGGTAATTATCAAGGCCATGTCACCCTTCCCAGAGAATTTTAATTATGAAAGGAAATAAGTGAAAAGCAGACGTGTAAGCAAGTAAACATTAAGCTCCAAAATGAAACTAAAGTACCCAATATACCCAGAAAGTCTGGGCCATTTAAAAATCTGCTTTTTAATTTTAGCTTAAAGTGTATATTTGTTCATCTTCTTTGATCTCACCGAACTGGGACTGAAACTGAAACTGTGATATTGGAAAGGAGAGAAGACATAGCTGGTAGAGCCTGTCAGTGCTTATCTCCTGAGTTTTGGAGGACAGTGTTTTAGATGAAGGTCCTCACGATTGCTAAACAAAGTGCCTCAGCGTTAGGTACCACGTTTGGAAAAAGACACTGAAAGCAAATGGGAAAAACAACAGTGTGGCATATGATGGCAGTTCTAGGAGAGAGAACCAGGAAAGCAACAAAGCATTTGTAAGGAAGAGTCCAGAACGGGCAAAGACTAATTCCCAGAATACATGTTTTTGATAGCCTTATATTCAAAAGCGAGGTCAGGCCAGCAGCAGACATCACCTGGGAGCTGGTCAGAAATGGAGAAGTAGAATCTGCATTTTAGCCAGACCCCCAGGGGATTCACAGACACAGAAAAGCCTGAGGAGCTCTGCTCTATAAGGCAGTGGGTGCCAAACCAGACTGCCTCTCAGAATCATCTGTAAACTTAAAAAAGAAAAAAGGCAGATGCTGGGTCCCTCTAGACCAAGTGAGTCAATCACACTCTTTCTGGATATTGCCCAAGCATGTACCATTTTTCTTCTTCAGTTTCAGAGGGCAATTTTGATGCATATCTTCTGTTGAGAGTCACTGCTTCAGAACAAAGTAAAGATCTAGTCTCAAAAAACAAATAAAAGCTATGCATCCTAATGGGACATGTATATGTGGGGTGAAAATACAGATAATGGAGAACAGTTGCAAGTTAAGGGGGGGAAAAAAATCATTGTTTCCACTTAAAAGCTCTTCTGCTGCTCAGCCTTCACCCTAGTGGGAAGAGGAACCTAACCAATCTTCTCTCAGGAGGAAACACCTTATTTTCTCAGGCAAGCACCTACCTGTCCACAGCACCGGCTTGTCAGGCACCTACCTTGCTTGTCTGATTTGGTTTGATCCCAGGCCCTCGAACCAACAGTGGAACTTTAATATCAAACTCATACAGCTGTCTCTTGTCTATCGGCAAGGAAAACTGTCCTGAAAACAAAACACACAAGGTAAAGGTGGAGCCAAGACAGGATCCTTGCTCATATTATGTTTCACTCATTTCATCCATAGCAAAAACTAAAATAACTTTGTTCTATTGATTCTGGTAGCTTTCTATTTTAATAGAAAGCTGAAATTTGCCTGGGTCTCTTGTTACTACAAGGCAGGAAGACGACAAATTCATCTTCTCTAAATAAATGACTACAAGGGACTGCCTGGCTTATGATAGGATAAAATGAGCAAAAATAATGACAGGAAAGCATTGAAACAGAAATACATAAAAATTTATGCATGCTACTCAGCCTCATCACAACTGAATGAGGTTTATTCCAAAAACTGTCAAATGAACAAAAACACCTATCCTGTGTTTCCTGAATGAACCGCCTCTCAAGATCACCAAATAATTTGATAAGGGGAAATTCTTCCCTGAGGAATTCCAGCTAATAAATACAAAAGAAAGGACAGGATTACAAAATCGAAATTTTGCAATTTCTGAGGAAATAATGGATTTAGGCAACAATCATCAATGGAACAAGAGAAAAGCTCATAGCAACAGTTCAGACTGAAATCACCTGATCCATCAAGCAACACTAGCACCCCCAAAACAGTGCAATCAGACACCACGGACCTCATAACATGATGCAATAGGAAATCAGCAGCAGGCAAGGATGCACTGTCACCTGAAAATGTGAATTTCTATCCAGTCCCTAATCTAACTACCAATCTATAGGAAATGCTGAGCAGAGATGAACATGGCACTATAAAACTGCATTTAGCCAGATTCAGAATGTGAGACATGCTGATGGACAAAACACCCACTTCTCCCTATAAATTCGTGGCAAATGACAGTTAGGAGGCATAAGAACTAAAGGTAGTATGTGGACTTTCTCTGCATCTTTTTTTTTTTTTTTTGAGATGGAGTCTCGCTCTGTCACCCAGGCTGGAGTGCAGTGGTGTGATCTCAGTTTACTGCAACCTCCGCCTCTGGCGTTCAAGTGATTCTCCTGCCTCAACTGGGACTATAGATGCATGCCACCACACCTGGCTAATTTTTGTATTTTTAGTAAAGATGGGGTTTTGTCATGTTGGCCAGGCTGATTTCAAACTCCTGACCCCAGGTGATCTACCTGCCTTGGCCTCCAAAAATGCTGGGATTACAGAAGTGAGCCACCACGACAGCCATCTGCATCTTGATACATAATAACCAGAGTCAAATGCGTAATCAGGTATTGAAGCCTGGAATCATGTGTATGGGAGTTGCTTCAAAACCTTCTAGCAACAAAAGAAAAACACAAGGAGAGTAGGAAGAATTCAAAAGACTGGCCACATGCAGCTGAAAAGCTAAGACAGATGATATTTTACTACTCTCTACTTTGAGTATTTAAAAATATTCACAGGCCGGACATGTTGGCTCACGTCTGTACTCCCAGCACTTTGGGAGGTGAGGCAGGCAGGTTACCTGAGGTCAGGAGTTCAAGACCAGCCTGGCCAACATGGCGAACCCCCAATTCTACTAAAAATACAAAAATTAGCTGGGCCTGGTGGTGTGCACCTGCAGCCCCATCTACTCAGGAGGCTCAAGCAGGAGAATCGCTTAAATCTGGGAGGTGATAGGTTGCAGTGAGCCAGGATCAGACCACTGCACTCTGGCCTGGGAGACAGAGCGAGATTCTGTCTCAACAACAACAAAAAATCACAATAACGTATTAAATGCCTAAGTGATCTCCTCCTATGCAAGGAAGTCTCAAGTGAATCTCATTCAAGTGGACATTTATATATGTGGAAAGAAGAAAATGTTTGCTTTTAACAACAGAACAGAACGTCCAAGTAGAAAGCATGAAAGTCAAGGACACAGAGGTGACTCATCCTACAGATTTTGAAAAAACAAACACCCCCAAAAAACAAATTCCATGATTGGCAAGATAGTTTTCCTCACAAGACAACCTTCTCTTGGTCTTCCTGTCATAAATGCCTTCCATACAGCCTGCCTCCAACCCATCAAGCTCATACTCTGCTCCCACTCCTAGAACACCATTGTCATCTTGCATGTGAAAGAGCAAATAATGAAACATGGTTTCTCCATGTGGGAATGATGAGGTGGCCCTGAGGGCAAGACCCTCCCTCTGGCAGGTTCACAGTTATAGAAAGACTAGAACTCCCTGTCAGGGCTGACTGGGTGAAAAAGGAAAGACATGTCCTCAAAGATCACAGCAGTGTCTACCCCTGCCTCTGACCTGTGTGATAGCCATTGTCTGAGGTATAGAAGATGTAAGTGTTGTTCAGCTCCCCAGTGAACTCCAATCTCTTGATCAGTTTCTCCACAAGGTCATCAACTGAGAGGAGAGTTTGCCACCTGGATGTGAACAGAAGGTAGAAATGGGACTTCAGGACCAATGACTGAGGTATCACTATCTTGCCAAAACAAATAAACAAAAAACAAAGACATCCTGTTTAAAAAAAAAAAACAACACGAAACCCCAAACTACCCTCCCCAAAAACTCAAATCCTCAATTTCTACTCCCTAGACCTTCCCATTGTAACAGATTAGAAAATTCCAAAACATAATTCATTCCAAAGTTAACTGTTTCCAAATAAACTCATTTTAAAATAGCCAGTTAGCTTTACTTTTTATTGCCAATGGTGATGAGAGTAGAGATAATCAGAAGGGACAGTGGTCCATTCTCAGTACTGTACTACAGATTAATTCAGATAGGGCTGTGTTACAAAAAAGCTTAATATGTTTGAACTAGGAGTTGGCAAACTATGACTCACGGGCCACAGCTTGCCCACTATCTGTTTTTATAAAGTTTTATTGGACCACAACCATGCTCATTCATTTACATATTATCCAGGGCTGCTTTTGTGCTACAAGAGCAGAGCTAAGTAGTTGTGACAGAATGTGCAACTTGTGAGCCATTAATAGTTACTATCTGGCCCTTTACAGAAAAAGTTTGCTTGCCCCTAGTCTAAACACTTTCTAAGTAATGGGTTTTCAAAAATTGACTTAAGAGAATTTCTTGAAAATTCCAAATGGCAAATGCAAATATTTTGATCTTGTCTAAGCTTTTGGGTCATTTGTCACAGACGATAATGGGCTGTCTCAACCAAGTGACCTTTTCTTTAAACCAGGAGAAAAAAATTCTACCACATGGTTCAAGTTTGCAATATTTTTGCCAAGTCCTGAAAATGGATTGTCTAATTAGTACTGGGGTCCAAAGGCCACCTCATTCACTCGAGTGTAAAGGAATCTCTCTGCTTCTGGTGCCCCACTGAAGCCTCTCTCCCACTGACTTGCTTCCCTCCATTTTTGTTTCAGAGACAACAATGTGGTGTGGTCCCCTCTGTGTTAGCTGATGTGTAAGGTCCTTAAAACCACTCAGATTGTTAAGTAGCAGCAGCTCTTACCTTTTCCTAAATGCATTATCTAAAAACTGTATTGAAGAATTAGTCATTGGAGTCTTGGCTTGCCTAATTAACCAGTGCTTGTTCTAAAATTTAGAAGAAAAAAAAATGTTAACACCAAGTCACCACAGTAAACTACTGGATTGCTTGAGTAGATAATAAATAGAATAATTTCACTCTTACTTAAGCAAGAAGGAACTAACTGGAACCTGTTTAAGCAACTTCAGACCTTCTCTCCCCTCTTATGTTCCTAAAATAGAAATTTCTGCAGTTTAACTCAATCTCTCATTCTTCAGCTTCCCAGCACCTCCCAAACCATAAAAGGTCTTGGCTCCCCTGTTAGCAGCATAAAGATGTTTTAGAGAATGTCACTAGGAAACTACTGGCTAAAACGAGATTACATTTACAACTCTGATCATATGCCTTTGGTCTACTATAGCTACAAAATGGGCAATTAACTTTACCTTCCTCTAAGTTGCCTTTTTTGAGGTAGAGTCGGAGGTTGCAGTGAGCTGAGATCGCGCCACCGCACTCCAGCCAAAGCCCAGTGACATGATCTCAGCTCACTGCAACCTGTGTCTCCTGGTTCACATCATGTTCATGCCTCAGCTACTGAGTAGCTGGGATTACAGGCATGTACCACTATGCCTGGCTAATTTTTGTATTTCAGTAGAGATGGGGTTTTGTCATGTTTTGCCAGGCTGGTCTCGAACTCCTGGCCTCAAGTGATCCTCTTGCCTTAGCTTCTCAAAGTGCTGGGATTACAGGCATAAACCACCATACCTGGTCTACCTTCCTCTAAGTTTTGCCTAGCCAAGATATTGATCACCCTAAATCCTTAAAAAATCTTATCACAGCAATTTCCTAAAACTTCAAGTCTAAATCTGGAGGGTCCTTCCATTTAAATAAAAAGGGCCATTTTTTTTTGAGACAGGGTTTCACCATATTGGCCAGGCTGGTCTTGAACTTCTGAACTCAGGTGATCCGCCCGCCTCAGCCTCCCAAAGTGCTGGGATTACAGGTGTGAGCCACCACGCCCAGTCTAAGAGCCATATTTCTTAAACAAAAATATCCCCGTATACTATTAATTCTCTGTTCTCTATTCGTAAAACTCAAAGCCACCATATCTCAAACTATGCTCCTCAAAGTGTTCTTTATTTATTGAGCTTCAGAAATGCTAGATAGCATATCCTCCTGCTAGAAATGTACATTCAATCATGAATAACTCTGAGAAGTCCTGTAGCAGAGTGACTTATTTAACTCAAAGTTTATACTTGACCACGGGAACTTTTTATTAACTTCTTTTGGAGCACAGATTGAGAATGGTCCTCTAATTTAAAACCCAGTTCACTCAGCTTTAAAATTTTTATTTAACAAGCAACATGCCTATAATGTGCCTGGCAATATGCTAGTTGTTTCTATGTACTTGAATTCATAAAATAGTTCCATGAGGGATCAAGATCTCCCATTTCAGATGAAAAAAATGAAGTTAAGCATCTTGCTCATGGTCAGAATTGAGCTAGAAAGTGGCAGTTCTGGGTTTCAGACTCATTCTTTCTACAACAAGCAATAACAATTTCTGGATAACAGATCTGAGGCAATAGAGGCCTTCTATCTTTGAACCAGGGAACTCCCTATACCTCAAGCCAAGGGAAGTGTAAGTAATTGGCACATGAGGCAAATATGTGAGTTGTTGTGGCTTTTAATCATGTCACATGCTCTGGTTCATTTTTCCATTCAACTTCCCTTTCCAACCATATTGCTCTGTGCCACCCCTTCTTCCCATGCCTCAAGGCTAGTGAGGGCCACCAGGAGGCTGGTGCAGTCATAGCTATGCCAGGAGGGAGGAGACCCAGCACAGAAGTTACCAGGAGAGTCCAAGTGATATACTCCTATAATTGGGAAAGATGGCATTCTTTACCATTCCTGTCAACTTTCTAGTTGCTTACTGGATGGGTAGCAGGAACTTTACCTGTACTTGCAATGCAAGTTTATACTATCTGTTTTACTAGGGACAGGTACAATTACCTCTAAAAGATTGTGAAGAAAAACTCACTACATGGCTTAAAGGCTTCCTGACAAGTATATCATATAGCTAATCATACTGAGTATGGCTGAATACAAGGGTTAGGAGAAGCTACCATTCCATGGATGTTGAAGTTCTTGTTTCTTGGTGCAAAGACACTCTGGAAAGCCTTCTGGTACTGAGGTGCAGCTGTCCAAGGTGAATGAGGTGCTGGAGTGGCGATCATCATGAAGAAGGGCTCAAAGTTGGATTTGTAGTTCAGGAAGTCCAATGAGACATTAGCCTGACACATATAAAGATTTGTCATTTCCTACCTTACCCAAAAGATGAGTATTTAATGGATAAATGTCCCCTAGTGAGCAGACAGTACAGTACAGGGTCATATTTGCTCTTAATCAGTCTTAACCATGATCTTATGTCATAGCCATTTGCAAGCATATTGTTGGAACAAATATATTTGGTTTTAGGAAACATTTTAAAACCTGAGAAGGATACCAACATAAAGCAATTAAGGTCTTGATGATTTTATATGACCTGGAAATCATGTCTCCCACAAAGAAGGAAACAATAACTTGGCTATTTTAGTATTAACTTACACGAATGGAGATTATGGTATCTACATGTGATGCCTTAAGAAATGTAAAAGGAGTCAACTTAAAACAGTGGGAAAGGTAGATTGTTACCTTAACCTTATGAAAATATGTATAAAGTAGATGTCATAAATTATGCACTTAAGTAGCTAAGTGAATAATATTAGATTCAAATACTTCTCACTAGGGCTTTAATTTACATGGACTTACATTTTTCCTTTGCTTATCAGGAGATAGATACTTTATGAAAATGAAAGTATGCTACATACATGTTGTTTTTCATTGTTCTGACATAATTTCATTTATTCCCAACACTATCTCAAAAGACATTGACTATATCTATCTCCTATAGTCCCTCCATCCACCTTTCACTCCACTCCTGTCAGCTTCCTTGTAGTTTCTGAAATATGCCAGGCACACTCCTGTCTCGGGGCCCTCCCACTTACCGTTTCCTGACTCTGTGGCACTCTTCCCCCTGATCTACATGGCTCATTCTCACCTCCTTCCAGTTTCTGCTTAAATGTTATCTAAGTAACCTTATACCCTAACTTATTTCTCTAACACATAAGACTGCAAGAGTGTGCGTGTGTGAATAAAATTACCTTCCACAGAAGCAGGGACTGTGCTTCATTTACTGCTGAAGACTTGCTATACTAGGTGCTGACTACTGAGTGAATGAATATATAATACTATGGAAGACTGCTGTTAGACATGCCTCAAACCAGGAAAGTCCCAATTTCACCTGCTTTCAGTAATTTTTATATATAAATACCCAATGCCCAAATAAATCCAATATCCCTATCCCTCCAGCCTCATAATGGGGCCTGTGAAGCTGCCATCTTGTAGCTTATGAGTAAAACTGGGGTCAAGAGTAGGAACCCTTACAAAGTAAAACCTCTACAAAGTAATCTCTATAGTCAAAGAGATTAACCTTTGGAAAGGGATTTGTTGCTGGAATTTCAATAACATTAGATCTGAGCCTGGCCTATGCACAAAGAAAATATCCTCAGGAGTTTGTAATTAGCTGGAAATACTCTTGGGCAGTTAGACCAAGTTAATGTGCATTCACATTACCCAATACAAACAAGATGATGGGTTTTCTAGGCAGAGTCTTCAATCAAATGTGAGCCAACTCTGTAAGGACAGAGCTACAAAGCTTCTGCAACTCACCAAAACATCTGTTAGGTAGTCCACACTATAGTTTTCACCATGCTTCCGTGCCTTTCCATTGATAGAGAGGGTGTAATTATAATACTTAGAATTCTTTTCCTATTAAAAAGAGGAAAGTCAAATTTGTTATAAGGTCAGTGCACAAAGTGAAGTCTGAATGCTGTGCTAAACTATACTCTGAGCAGTGATAAGACATTAAAAAGATAACTACTCAATACTGAATTAGATTTTTTTGACAAGGCTTTTATTAAAGACTAGCAGTTTCAATTATATGTTCTAGTTTAAAAGCCAGAAGTAAATCAGGTAGAAAAGCAAACTAGTTTGCTAAACTTGTATGATGCAGGAAAAACATTGCAGAAAGGAGTGACTCATAAGCCAACAGATCTTTTTTTTTTTTTTTTTTTTTAAAGAGATAGGGTCTCTCTTTGTCACCCAGACTGGAATGCAGTGGCACAATCATAGCTCACTGCAGCCTCAAATTCCTGGGCTCAAATGATCTTCTCACCTCAGCCTCCTGAGTAGCTGGGACTACAGGTGCATGTCCACACCCAGCTAATTTAAAAATTTTCTGTTGAGATGGGGTCTCGCCATTTTGCCCTGGTCTCGAACTCCTTAACTCAAGGTGATCCTCCTGTCTCTGCCTCCCAAAGTGTTGGGATTCTAGGCATGAGCCACTACACCTGGTCACAGGTCAATATACTTTAAGGTTTTAAAATAACTAATTGTAAAAGCAAATAAAGTTATATCAATGTCAGAGGTAAATTATTCTGCATCTGTAGGGCTGCATATAATTGTTATTGACTTCAATAATCACTCACCAAGGCATACCAGTAACTCCAGCCCAGAGGAACATGTTCTAGTCCACCTGCATCTGGGGCTCCATACTGAAAAGCAAGACAAGTAGGGACAATTACAAGTCCTTAGATATGGCCAGACCAGAAAGAAACAGGAAATTTTTAGAATCTCTCTCTTTTTTTTTTTTTTAGACTAATGTCTAAAACACAGTAGGTGCTTAATTTCCCCAAATATAGACACTAGTCCGAAATAAACTCTAATAATCCTAGGAATGTCTAAAGCAGGAGTTGGCAGACTACAGCCAGTGAGCCAAATCTGGCCTGATGACTTTTTTATGGACAGCAAGCTAAGAATTTAACAATTTAAAAATCAAAATAATATTTGTGAAATGTGACAATTATATAAAATTCAAATTTCAATAATGATAAAGAGTTTTATTGTATCACAGCCACGTTCATTTACAGTGTCTGCGGCTGCTTTCACGCTATAGTGGCAGAGATGAATAGGAGCAACAGAGATATATGGCCTGCAATGCCTGATATGTTTACTATCTGCCCCACTACAGAAAAAGTCCATATAGCCTACCTCACATAGCCTATTCATGGGATGAATGCTGAGCGGCTGATAGCACAAACTGAATAGTCCAACTGACTCTAAGCAGCCCAAATAATCAGACTATGAGCTATCAATTTATTATATGTTGAACATCCCAAATCTGAAAATCAAACTTTTTGAGTGCCAACATGATACTCAAAGGAAATGTTCACTGGAGCACTTCAGATTTTTGGATTTGGACTGCTCAACCAGTAAGTATCATGCAAGTATTCCAAAATCCAAAACACCCGAAATGCAAAACACTTCTGGTCCCAAGCATTTTGGATAAGGGGTAATCTGTATTTCAGTTGTCCTGCAAATGAAACCCACTTTTAGAGTTTGGTTTATCTGATGAGATGAATAAAATAAAGAAACCACAGAATTATCCCACTTCATCCTTACAAGGTTTAATGCCACCCATTTAAGGAAGAACTTAATCCTTGAAAACAAAATCTTTCTACTTTAACAGTCTCTCTTAATTTTATATACACATCATATGACCTTCAATATGCAAAGTAGTGTAAGTTCTCTTTATGAACCATAACCCCAACCAAATGACCCAGTATCCACAGTTCCTGTTTCTCATGATCCTTTTCAAACTGACTCATCTTCCTGCATACTTACAAGGTTGCAGATTCCCCCAGTTACTTGGGGCAGGGGAGAATTAACAGAAAATTCAGATATTGAGATCTCTAGTAACTACAGATAAAGAGTATAAGTACATCTTCTCTTTGTCTTGAACCCCCAGTTTAACTCTAAGAGCTAACCCCAAACAGTCTCAAACACACTATTTCCTTTAAGCTTGGACTTTGGGTAAAAGCTAAGGCCAATGTGTGAATGTGGGCCCATGCAATCTGGCCTCAACAGTTCACCACAAGGTATCTCTCCATCCAGGTCTAGGAAGCTAGCGCACCAGCTGCTGGTCATACACTTTTTTTTTTTTTGAGACGGAGTTTCGCTCTTGTTACCCAGGCTGGAGTGCAATGGCACAATCTCGGCTCACCGCAACCTCCACCTCCTGGGTTCAGGCAATTCTCCTGCCTCAGCCTCCTGAGTAGCTGGGATTACAGGCACGCGCCACCATGCCCAGCTAATCTTTTGCATTTTTAGTAGAGACGGGGTTTCACCATGTTGACCAGGATGGTCTCGATCTCTTGACCTGGTGATCCACCTGCCTCGGCCTCCCAAAGTGCTGGGATTACAGGCATGAGCCACTGCGCCCGGCCATACACTTTAATGGCCTGCACACCCAGACTCTGGGTACTTTTTTTTTTATCACTAATCTCTCCACATTCAGTTGCTACTTTTCACGTTAGAAAATGAGTTAAGCATTAAGTTGTTATAATTCAGAAAAGATTCTAAGAAATCTGAGGAAAAAGTCTAAGAGGAAAAATGTCTTCATTTAGATACTGATAATGGGGAAATGCAAACAAAGATACTATGACAGCCACATGACAAGCAGAATTCCTGAGGAAAAAAGGGAAGATGCATCAGACAGCAGCAGTCTTAGGACAATTTTTAAATACATGCTCCTGGGACTACTGAAAGGAAAAACAGGGACCCAAATCAAGTAAACATGTACATTTATACTTACATGAACATACTCCTTATTCTTATTTAATGGGCAGATTCACAGAAAACAATGGACATCAAAAAATCCTTTAATATTGTTACTAATAAAATTAACATGAATTACAGTCAGATTTTAAATGCTATTATAAAAAAAAAGAAAGAGATCATTCAACATACCTCATTTAAATACTTCCCTGCAAAAAAGGTTTGGTAACCACACATTGATCTGAGAATTGCTGGGAAAGTGTTTGGTTCCTGGATCTTCTGCCAGGACTTACTACTGCAGTTCCCCTCTAGAGTGTTGTTCACAACGTGATGATTATGTGGGTACTTTCCTGTCAGGATACTGGCTCTGCTGGGGCAGCAGAGAGCACTTGGCACATACTACAAAGGAAAGGAAGCAAAAAGGACAAAGTCACATGAGAAAGATGGACTTCCCATCACTGCTAAAGAGAGTAAAGAAAAAAGCTCCTTAATACTCTTAACTTCAAATATGTAGTTCCTCATGGAATTTTGTTTTCTACACATGACATACTTGATGTGGGCAGCTTTAAGTCACATAGTGTAGACATTAAAGCAGAGAGAACAAACTGAGAAAACGGATTTCTTTTTCGTTTCTTTCTGTAGGATAACAGTAATTCTAGTCTCATCTGCCATAGAGAGAGTTTTTTTTTTTTGAGGCAAGGTCTCACTCTGTCGCCCAGGTTGGAGTGCAGTGGCACAAGCGCAGTTCACTGCAGCCTTGACCTCCTGATGCAAGTGATCCTCCCACCTCAGCCTCCCAAATAGCTTGGAGTATAGGAGGGCTAATTTTTTAAATTTATTTTTTATTTGTAGAGACAACGTTCTTACTGCGTTGTCCAAGCTCATCTCAAACTCCTGGATTCAAGTGATTCTTCCACTTTGGCCTCCCAAAGTGCTGGGATTATAGGTGTGAGCCACTACACCCAGCCAGAAATAGTATTATACACAAGGAGCAAAGCTTGGTGAGAGACTGGTCTTAACCAAAGACAAATACTACTACTTGGATCTAATTGAGACACAGTGGTTTATTTGCAGGCAGATCCACAACTTTATAAAGCTGTATCACTTTATACATTTCCTGTATCACTTTATACAGGAAAAAAAAAGTTTTTTCTACTGTAATATTTCCCTTAGCTACTGTCAGCAACAGATTTTCCCCATTCTACCCAATCATACTGGTACAAATCACCAAGCCACTTCATAGAAAGGTAGTACTAGCTTATACCTGCACCAGCAGGGAAAGGCCATTCAAGCACATGCTTATGCCAAAATTGGGTATTATCCTTTTTAAATATTTGCAATTTTTTTCACCTTTCAAGTTAGAGTTGGCATTTTTAAATAATAGTGAGGATGAACATTCTCTACACGTACTGACTGTGTTTATGTGAATGGTTTGTTCTTATGTTTTGCTCATTTTTTTCCTCCTGGCTGTTGGCCTCTTGCTACATAAGATTTAAGTTAAGGAAGGATTCAGTCATGTTACAAATACTTCCCATTTTTACTTTTGCCTTTTAATTTTATTAGATGTTTGACTTCTAAAGTTTAAATTTGCAACTCCTAACTCTTCCCCTTTTTGTTTTTTGATCAATTTTATGGTCAATACACAGTTTATCTTAATATTACATTTTAGTATCTGGTAGAACAATTTTGCTGTTTTTTTTTTGTTTTCTTTTTGGAGACAAAGTCTTACTCTGTCACCCAGGATGGAGTACACTGGTCCATCTCAGCTCACTGCAACCTCTGCTGCCTCAGGGTTAAGCAATCCTCCCACCCCAACTTCCCAAAGTAGATGGGACTACAGGTGTACACCACCATTTAAGTATTTTTATAGATATAGGGTCTGGCCATGTTGCCCAGGCTGGTCCCAAACTCCTGAGCTCAAGCAATCCACCTGCCTCAGCCTCCCAACGTGCTGGGATTACAAGCATGAACCACTGTAATTAAAAAAAAAAAATTACCTTAATTATTCTATTTATTATTCCAGGTAACTTTTGGAATCACTTGAGTTTAAAATAATCTTTATAGAATTACAACTACAATAAATATATTATATAACATTGTATCTTAGCTGAGCACAGTGGTTCACACCTGTAATCCAAGCTATTTGGGAAGTTGAAGCAGAGGATCACTTGAGGCCAGGAGTTTGAGACTAGCCTGGGCAACAGAGCAAGACCTTGTCTCTAAAAAAAAAAAGTGAAAAAAAATTAGCTGACTGTGGTGATGCATGCCTACAGTCCCAGTTATTGGGAAGCTGAGGTGGGAGAATCATCTAAGCCCAGGAGTTTGAGTTCCAGTCTTCAGTGAGCTATGCCACTGCACTCCAACATGGGTGACAGAATGAGACCCCGTCTCAAAAAAAAAAAAAAGTACATAAAATGATGTACATATCTATGTATCAAATATTTTTTATCTTACTACTCACATCCTTTTGTAACCTAAATTACATAGGTGATAGCCATTACTGGCCCCAACCAGTTATTCTTAGAAAGTTCATAAATTATGAATGAGGCAGGGCATGGCAGCTCACATCTGTAATCCTAGCACTTTCGGAGGCCAAGGTAGGAGGATCACTTGAGCTCAGGAGTTCCAGACCAGCCTGGGCTACACAGTACGATCCTGTATCTATCTTTATATAAAAGAAAAATAAATAATTATGAATGAGATATTTTCTTTGTCCCCCACCTTCTATTTTTCTAACTGATCACATGGAAGAAAGTTATTAATTTTTATTTTTTCATTTTTATCTTGCTGAATTCTGGTGATTTTAAGTTTTTCAATAATTTTCCTCTGTTTCCTAGATAGAAAATCCAAACAAGCAGAAATAATTTTTCCAATATTTTTACCTCTGATTTCCATAAGACTTAATGGCAATGACTAGACAGTCCAGAATAACATTAAATGGAGGCCTTGTTTTATCCCTAACAGCAACTGCCCTGAGTCTTTCACCCCATGTATTTGTTTGAAATATTAATCATAGTCAGGAAGTATTCTTATGATAGCTTAATATGTCACCAGGAAAAGACGCTAAAATTTCAGAGTACTTTCAAGTATCCATTAGGAAGAATATTCAGTTTTCCTTCTTTCAATATCACGTTGATAGACATATAATAACCAACATCATGTAGTATTTACTATAATAAGTCAGGCGTTGGCTGGGCATGGTGGCTCACGCTTATAATCCCAGCACTTTGGGAGGCTAAGGCGGGCAGATTACTTGAGGTCAGGAGTTCAAGACCAGCTTGGCTAACATGGTGCAACCCCATCTCTACTAAAAACACAAAAAATTAGCTGGGCATGGTGGTGGGCACCTGTAATCCAAGCTACCTAGAAGGCTGAGGCAGGAGAACTGCTTGACCCCAGGAGGTAGAGGTTGCAGTGAGTCGAAATTGTACCACGGTACTTCAGCCTGGGTGACAAAGTGAGAATTCGTCTCAAAAAAAAAAAAAAAAAAAAGACGTCAGTGCTCTACACATATTAACTCAACCTCACAACAACTCTGAAGGAGATTTTGGTACTCCCTTTTATAAATGGGGAGGAAAAGGGCCAGAGAGTTTAAATAATTTGTCCACGGTCATGCTGCTAGACAAGAGACAGAGAGGGTATTCCAGACTAGGTAGTTTGGCTCCAGAGTCTGAGCACTTCAACATAACACTATGCTACTGTTCAAGGGATTTCCTGATAGTACGCTACCCTTACATTCCTAGACTACCATTCACTTTGTTATGTTCATGGTTGAAAATCAATTGTTGATATTTTGTTTTGAATCTTTGCATCTATATTTATGGGGTGTGTGTGTGCTGCTTTTTGTCAGTTGGTTATCAAGATTAATTGGGTTTTTACCATAGAAAAGATAACACAGCATACATATTACTTGATTTTTTACAATCCATTTTCAAACCTCAAATGGTGAAGTTTAAAATAAATTCTCTAGTTCTGAGACTGGCTTAGAAATAACTGCAGTTAATCTTCAATTGATAAGAGGTAATATTACAATTAAAAGAGTTTATATCACATTAAATCCTTCCTTCAGATCAAGTATTTAACAAGGAAAAAAAACAAACAGATCATACCAGATTCCTGAGAAGAGAGCTTCTTCTCAAGCTACAAACACGGTTAGATTAACAAAATTGTATTCGCCGTAAAACTTACAGCACTGGAAAAAGTCATCCCCATCTCTCCAATGAGTGCTCTGGTTTTCTTTAGTGGTGTCTGCAAAAGTAAGTAATTATCCATTAGACAATTTCTTCCAATAAATTAAGCGACCAAGAATTCCTGTTTTGTTACATTTTAATCTTTAATTTCTAAACAGTTAGCTCTAAGCAACAGCTAAATAGAGTACTGTATGATTCTAGAGACAGGTTTGGTTCCAGTCAGCTCCATCCTGTGTAAAAGTACAGGAGGTCAAAAATGCTTGCAGGAAGGGAAAGTTCAGTTGGTGGCAGTAACATCTTCATGCCCTTATAGTTATCAGCACCCAGATATGGAAGATAGGGCAGACCTATCTCAATGAATTAATCTTCAGAAGTAGGATGTGGGAAATGATATAAAGGGAGTCTTCCGCTCTATGAAACAGAAGACAACAGTTGGATTCTCAAGGTCAGACAGGGCCCCAGGGCTCAGAGACTGATTCAAACTTCACACACTCAGTGATGCAGGCCAGATGCACACTGTTCAACTACAGCTACTGCCATCTGCATAGATCCACTAGCACTTCAGGATAAGGACTTGAACCAGGTGGTAAGCAGGTGTATGCAGAACACTGTCAGGCAAAAGGCTACTCAGAAACAACTTTATGCCCTTGCTTTTCATCTTTTGTTCAAAATCTAAGATCTTTACAAGTACAGAGAACAATTAACTTCACCCTAGTGAGGATGAAAGTATGAAGACAGTCATTTCAATACAAATGAAAGGAACACTAATATTCTTCAGATTCCAGACAGCGAAAAGCACCATTGAAGAGGTTGTTTTAGTTGTAATACAGGTCAGTTTGTGACAATTCTGAAATACCTTTGAAACCTAAGACCATACTGAATGCAGTTTTAAGTATATTTTGTTGTATAGTAATTCCTTAAAGATCGCTAATCTAAATATATAACTAGGTAAAATAGAAGCCTCAATTTCAATAATGTATAAATGATTTTCCATTGTTTAATACAAAATCTATGGAATCCATAAGCTCAAAAGGATGAGAATTCTAATTTATCCAAAAAAAAGCTCTGATAATTTCATGAGTAGATACAGAAGAGGCTGCCACAAGATGCTGGAGATGCAGAAGATCTTTGCCAACCTTCTAAAGCAAGGTCACCAGTCATCCTCCCCTCAAAGCATCACTGGGTACCACCCTCAGGAAAAGAATACTGGGCTCATTGAAACACTGGTTTGATAAAGAACCTGAGTTACTATGAGGACATTCGAAGGCAAAACGAGGATACAAGAGTAAGTGGAGAAAAGGACCATCAGAGTTGACTGTATGGGACTTATTGTTAAACTGTCTGATAAATATGTAAAACTATGAAAGAATATCTGACTTACAGGAAAACTGTGTAATATCATTTATTAAACACAACATGTTCCAGGCATTAATCTAGGCAGTGGTAGACAGAGTATAGATGGCTGCATGATCCCAGCATTCTTGGGGACTTAAAACAACAGGCAAACAGTTATTTCAGGTGGTAAGTGCTATGAAGAGAATAAACCAGGATGATGTGATTGCAGCTGGTTGGCGGAAAAGGGAACTACTTTAGATGGGTGGTCAGGAAAGGCCTCTCTTTCCAAAGGTAACTTCAGTACGGAAAGCCATGTGATGAGGAGTCAGTCATGCAAAGATTCAGAAGCTGTTTCAGGCTGGGTATATAGGTACGACAGCTGCCAGAGGAAGGGGAGAGGCACCTGGGAGGAAGAGAAAAGCCAGTGTAGTGATAGAAGCAGCTTAGGAAGGAAAAGGGAGAATGAGGTAAGACCAGGTCAGAGAGGTAGGCAGGAGTCAGTCATGCAGAGCCGAACAGCAATTTAGACTTTAGGTCCAATGAGGTGGCTCACACCTGTCATCCCAGCACTTTAGAAGGCAGAAGCAGGAGGACTCTTTGAGGTCAGGAGTTCGAGGGGAGCCTGAGCAACATAGCAAGACTCTGCCTCTACAAAAAATTCAAAACTTAGCTGGGCTTTGTAGTGCATGCCTGTAGTCCCAGCTACTTGAAAGGCCAAGGTGGGAGGATTGCTTGGGCCCAGAAGTTCGAGGCTGCAATGAGCTATGACTGCACCACTGCACTCCCCACCTAGGTGAGAAGAGTGAGATCTTGCCTCAAAAAAAAAAAAAAAAAAAAGTATTTGTGTTAACTGTAATCTTTACACTGCTAACAATAGTACAAAAGATAACCATAATCTGTGTTTAATTGAAAAAGTCCTAAACAAGAAACTATACTGTACCCTAAATGTGTATGTGTCTCTATGCTAATCAGAATGTAAAATGAACCCTTCAGATCTAAGCAAAGATCTAACAAAAAACTTGTATGGTCAAGTTAAGGCCATACAACAGTCTTCAAGCAGCAGCCAGTCTCATGCTCTCATGCGGGCGAACGTGTTACTCTGCTCACCCCAAGGATAATCTTTTCCATTAAAACCCCAGAGTCACTTACTTTTCTGGTTCCATGTATAGCTGCTCCGAAACAACAATTCTGATAATTCTGTGGCTAACAATGGAAATTGTTTTGCTTTCAGTGAAGCAATGAAATATTTATTCTTCCCCAGCTGGGTGCAGTGGCTCATGCCGTATCCTAGCACTCTGGGAGGCCCAAAGTGGGCGGATCACTCATTAAGAGTTCAAGATCAGCCTGGCTAACATGGTGAAACCCGTCTCTACTAGAAATACAAAAATTAGCCAGGCGTGGTGGTGGGTGCCTGTAATCCTGGATACTTGGGAGGCTGAGGCAGGAGAATCACTTGAACCAGGGAGGCAGAGACTGCAGTGAGCCAAGATAGCGCTACTGCACTCCAGCCTGGGTGATGCTCCTTCCCTCACTTGCCTGAGGTTTTGGCCAAATGTCATTTTTCTTAAATGATTTATTTTATTATATTTTTGAGACAGAGTCTCTCTCTGTTGCCCAGGCTGAAGTGCAGTGGCACGATCTTGGCTCACTGCATCCTCCACCTGCCAGGTTCAAGCGATTCTCCTGCCTCAGCCTCCCAAGTAGCTGGGACTACAGGCGTGTACCACCATGCCTGGCTAATCTTTGTATTTTTAGTAGAGATGGGGTTTCACCATGCTGGTCAGGCTGGTCTCGAACTCCTGACTTCATGATCCATCCGCTTCAGCCTCCTAAAGTGCTAGGATTACAGGCGTTAGATGCAGTACCTGGCTGTGATGATTTTAAAAAGAGCAACTTATGCTTCTGTGAAGAACAGTGTGTCTACCACACTATAATGATGTTTAAGTAAAATCAAGAAAGAGATAAGAACAGTTCCCTGGCAAAATAAAAAATAAAAAGAGTCCCAGAGATATTTGGAACAAATAAAATTAAATGTTAAAGACAATGCTACTATATAAAAGAGAATTTCCAAGACACCTGAAAAATTCCACTATAAATCTAAATCATGTTATAAGTGCTATCTACAGTCCTTTGACCTGAGTTAGTGTGGTGGGGGTTGACCACTGTTTATTTTGCCAATGATGGCAGCAATCTGTAATCTTTTTTAGGTTAGAGCTCTCTTTCCACAAAAATGAAGACATTATACACAAAGTTTTACATGTAAATTAAGGAGTTCCATGAAGTCACTGGCATCCCCGAAGGTCACCTGCAGACTCTCTGACCTATGGTGTGATTATGCTGGTGTGGGTATGTGGAATGAAATCTGATTATCATCACAGTATTGTAGAATAGGAGAAAAAGCATGGTGCTCTGAGATTAGCTACCCAGGCTTTGTCCAGTATTAGCTATATGAACCCCAGCCAAGTCACTTAACCACATTCCAGGTTTAGTTTCCTTTTAAGATAAGAATACTATGCACAGCAGAGGACTCCTGTGATGAAGCACAAGAATAAAAATCCTAATACTCTGCTTGGCTCCAAGTAAGTTCTTAAATGCTCTTGTCTTAGCTCTTCCCCCTTGGAGTCCTGTTTGACAATTAGTGGTAGAATATTCTGAAAAAGGCTAGAAGAGAAGCCAGATTCTTGAGTTGGGAACATTAAGCTTGACTTGTCTCCTCCACTCAATTTTGGTACCTCTCTCCAGTAGAAACACCTACTGAAAAAAAGAATCTGGGCCGGGGCAATGGCTCATGCAGGTAATCCCAACACTTTGGGAGGTTGAGGTGGGTGGAGTACTTGAGTCCAGGAGTTCAAGACCGGCTTGGGCAACATGGAGAAATTCTGTTTCTACAAAATATTTAAAAATTAGCTGGATGTGGTGGCATGTGCCTGTAGTTCCAGGTACTAGGGGAGGCTGAGGCAGGAGAACTACTTGAGACTAGGAATTCAACGTTGCAATGAGTCTCAATTGCACCAATGCACTCCAGCCTGGATGACAGAGCAAGACCCTGACTCAAAAAAAAAAGAAAAGGAAAAAACCCAAAAAACACACAAAACTGCTACTGTCTTAACGAAGCAAATGGGATTAACATACTAAAAGGAAGAGACCTCAAACACACACGGACTACAGCTGTGGTTGATAAGAATTGAAGAAACTGAATTCTGAATACCTTATATTTAAGCAATGAATTTTGTTTTCAACAGCTATAAAAGCCTGACCTTTTGACAGAGAACTTTAGTCACTGCTAGAGAAGACTTGCTTTTTCTGGACAAAACACTCTTCAAGGACACAGTTTGTTGCTGCTGTTTTTTAAATAAAAAAGGAATTTTGTGAGCAGACAAAATAGCAAAAGAGTAGTAAAACTAAAGTACAAGAGGAAAATTAAATCAAGACTCTTGTCAACATGGCTTGTTAGAAACAGACAATGAAGTATATGCGGCAGGAAGAAGTGTGTAGTCAAAATGCAAACATCTCAGACATCAGCTGTAAAAGACTCTCAAACTCTTGAGCACAACCTAATATATTTTACAACTCAGGAATATAGATAGACAACTCAGGAAGATAGACAGATGGACATGATTACCTTTATCAACTGTTAACACACACACACACACGGACATTTCCTATTCTACTCTATTCCAGAGGAAATGAAAAATGTTGGTAGCTACTCACTAAACTGATTTCACAACTCACTCACGGGTTGGGACCAGCGGTTTGAAGGATACTAAGGGTGTGTAACTAACTGCACAAGCAAAGTTAGGAACGTCTTGCCTGGAGTATTTCATAGTCTCAGCATTCAGCTGAAAGCAAAAAGAACTGAAACGAATAAAGCAATAAAGCATTTGGTTTTAAAGCGAAGAGAGGAATGCTGAACCCAGGGTCAGAGGACTCTGCCTCAACTACTCATGTGTATTGGGCAAGTTGCTTTCTTGGCCTCCACGGGGAAGGGATTGGAGTGGATGCTTCCAAAGGTCACATATTCCAGAATTCTGCAATACACAAGCAAAATTAACTCGGGAGGAAAAAAAATGAAGTCTTGTGACAACACCCATTAGATAGAAAATGAAACACTGACAGTCTCTAATTGAACACCATCAGGTGTTCAATTAAACCAATTGAATTTTCTTGATTCTTGTGAGGCAAAACACACCCTCAATAGTTCGACGGTCTGCCTACCAGATCAGTGCACTTCAGGCTTATTTTTACACATATCACACACAGACGCTGTACACAGGCACAAACGCAGAGGTGGCCTAGGTCCCTCATAAAGGGGACTGGACTTGTCTTTTGATCCTTTAATCCAAAAGAAAAACAATCAGGGCTTGGGTGCTCTTAGCCAGCCCCTGATCCTCATTGTTTCAGCCCATCCTCTACTGGTCTCCACATGTTTATCTTGAGATATTAACGTAAACTCCACAGCAGTACAGTCCAGACTAGAAGCTGTGTGCTGTACGCATGTGCCTCAGCACAGAAGGGAAAAGAGTCTTGCAGTCCCTTACACCGGAGTTAAGGGCCTCAGGTAGTAAAACCAAACCAACCCAGGGTCAAGGCAGCCAGTTCGGGGAGTGGGGGTGGGGACCGGGAAAGAGAGCGAGGAACCGGGGAGTCAGCCCGAGAGATGGAGGGGCGGGGCAGAAACAGAAGAGTTACCATGCCGCCGAGCACTTCGTCCTGGTCGTCCGTGAGAAGCAACACCACGTTGGGCCTCCGGGTTCCCGCCGCCACCCCGGAGACCCCCAGGCAGCCGCCCAGCACCAGCAGCAGCAGCGTTGGGCTGCAGGAGGGCAGGTGGCGGGGGCTGCCCCATCGGGGCCGACCTGGGGCTAGAGGCAAAAGCCGCATGGCCGACAGGCTCCGGGGGAACCCCGGGACGGGAACGAGGGACACACAGATAGCTGAAAGGCGACAGGCCGACCAGCCGAAGGAAGAAAAAGCCGTGCCTTGAAGGCCGGGGGCTGGGGTCAGGCGTTTTCTCCCTGGGCGCGATCACGTGAGTTGAAGAAGGGGCGGAGCACGCTGCGAGGTCACGTGACGGTCGCGTGGGCGGGGCCGCGGGCGGGCACAGCCGGGAGGGAGGTGCCGGCAGCTGCGGAAAAGGGGCGGAGAAATGGGAAATAGGGCGGAGAACCGGGAAAAGGTCATGACCCGTGCGTACTTCTTGAGCAGGCTCAGTTTGCGTTCTGGTACGACCTGTTTCTGAGCGCTTGGTGGAAAGATTTAAATGTAGGAAAGAGAAGATGAAAAGCAGGAAAGAATTGGCAAATATTGACCAACCGATTAGGGAAGAGAAAGCGGGACTGTACCTACCACATATTAACATCAGCTGATGGGGAAAGTGGCCTCTACCATATTTAATCCCGGAATGGACGGGCACTTATTCAAGGTCCGGATGTTTAATTGTTTTTAATTTTCTCTGCAGCTTGTGAAATAAGTCTTAACATTCTCATTTGGCTCAGCCATTAAATTCGGAACTGGCTTCCAATTCAGCTCTTTTAACTCCAAAGCCTGATTATGTTCTACTTTCCTCAGCTAGAATCGTAGTTACAATTTAGGGATGTCCTGACAGTTTTACCCTAATGTTCCTTGGTAACTTTTTAAACACCCTCTTGGAAGATGTTGGAGGATGTGCATGAAGAAAAACCTTGAAAGGTGGTCTTCCAATAGCATTATTATTATTTTTATTATATATATATTTTTGAGACGGAGTCTTGCTCTGTTGCCTAGGCTGGAGTGCAGTGGCGTGATCCTGGCTCACTGCAACCTCTGCCTCCCAGATTCAAGCGATTCTCCTGCCTCAGCCTCCTGAGTAACTGAGATTACAGGCGTGTGCCACGACATCTCGTTAATTTTTATATTTTTAGTAGAGACAAGGTGTCACCATTTTGGTCAGGCTGGTCTCAAATTCCTGACCTTGTGATCCGCCCACGTCGGCCTCCCAAAGTGCTGGGATGTAACCTGTAAGGTGTGAGCCACTGCACCTGTACCCCCAACCCCATCGCATTATTAAGTAATCTTTAGTGGGGAATATCCCATGATACTAGGTCCAGGTATTTTGTCGTTGCCCTGGAACAATTCGACTTTGCCTCTCTGTCTGTAGAGATCTTACTGGCAAGGTGAACTGTTAAGTTATATTCCCAGACCAATGTAACAGGTTGTACCTCCTTGCTGGTAAAAGTATATTCTCTGAGCTGAACTGTCTGCCCAGAAGAGTCTCTTATAACTCGTGAAAACTGTCCCAGAACTTAAAAGTAAGATAAAAAAAAAAAAAAACTCGTGAAGTCACTGTACTATAAGGTAAAAATGATGATGGAAACACTTTGAAACCTCATATGTACAGGGTAGGGCTATTTTAAAAATTGCCTTTGTTTTATTACCTTTTTTTTTCACTACAGAGGGGTAATGTGTGGAGTCCTAACAAGGTTTGAGGTAGGGGTTGTAATTCACACATTATCGTGAAAACCGAATCATCACACTAATGAACCACAAAAAGATCTTAATACTTTTTTAAAGTAAGCCTACAGAAGGCAAAAGAAACTTTAAAAAAGTGAAGTAGAGTTTTTCTGCAAGAAACAATTTTGCCGGAAATATGATCAGAGCAGTTCCTAGACAACCAGAATACACTTGGTTACAGCCTTGGCCTAGGCCAGTTTTTCAAGCTGGTTAGAATAACTAAGGTTTCAAGACTTCCAGGAAGACTTTCTTGCACAAAAAAAGAACCTATCATTCTCATTGATGCCCCAAATTGTAAAATTGTTTCTTTTCATTTTCAAGATGAGATTATAAACTATTTGAAGCCAGTGGTGTAATTAGTTCCACCCTTTGTTCAGGATGCTGCTGTCAGAGGCATTTGAAGGAGAGCAACTCCATCTTGAATGGGGGCTGCGTAAAATAAGGCTGAGACCTGCTGGGCTGCATTCCCAGACGGTTAGGCATTTTAAGTCACAGGATGAGGTGGGAGGTCAGCACAAGATACAGGTCATAAAGACCTTGCTGATGAAACACGTAGCAGTAGAGAAGCTGGCTAAAACCCACCGAAACCTAGATGGCGATGAGAGTGACCTCTGGTAGTCCTCACTGCTACACTCCCACCAACAGCATGACAGTTTACAAATGGGAACGTGAGGAATTTACACTATATGGTCTAAAAAGGGGAGGCATGAGCAATCCACCCCTTGTTCAGCATATCATCAAGAAATAACCATAAAAATGGGCAACCAGTAGACCTCAGCTGCTCTGCCTATGGAGTAGCCATTCTTTTATTCCTCTACTTTCATAATAAACTTGCTTTCACTTTATGGTCTTGTCCCAAATTCTTTCTTGCACAAGATCAAGAACCCTCTCTTGGGGTCTGTTCGGTAACAGTGCTACACTAGTGCTAAAGAGACACTGTCCCTCTTTCAAGGAATTTGCAGTCTAATGGCAGAGAGATGGACAATCCAATAGTCACAGAAGTATATGATTACAAATAGACATGCTATGAAGGAAAAGTAAAGGGTGCAGTTAGCATCGAAGAGACTGGGAGGCTGACTTAGTCTAAGGTGTCCTGAGGAAGTGATCTTAGAGTGAAATCAGAAGTTTGAGTAGGAGATAACTTGTTAATGGAGTGTTGGGGTGGTAGAATGTCTCATAGGCACAGAGTACACCATATGCAAAGGTCCTGAGCTGGAGCATTGCGATAACTAAAAAAAGCCAGTGTGGTTAGAGCCGTGGGAGAGAGGTGGTGAGGACCCAGATCCTATTTTAAGGACTTGGGCTTTTATAGTAAGGTGAATTGGAAATTACTGAAAGAATATAGGAGAAATATAATCATACATGAATTTTTAGAAGATCGTTTTGACTGTGGCATGAAGAACAGATTGGAAGAGGACAAGCATAGATAAGGGTAGACTGTAGGGTCCAGCCCTACAGGGTCCTGTGAGCCCCTCTCTGCTGGAGTGGAGATGAGAAACTGTGGAAATAAAAGATACAAGACACTAAGAAAGAAAACAGAGTTTGGGCCCAGGGGTCCACTGCTAACCAAAGTGTGGAGTCTGACAGTGGCCCCAAGTGCCTGGACGCTCTGACTTAATTATTGAGTACAAAGCAGGGGGCAGGGTGGCTAGGGTGAGGTAATGGTGGTCAGTGATAGGGTCAGGAAATCACGTGTCTCGGAGGTAGGGGCCCAGGTCTTTCAAGTGGCCGAGGGGAGGAGAAAACCTAATGAGTCAGCACTTTTCTCATACTTGTCAAGAAACAACTAAGGCATTAAGATTTCTGTCACTACTACTGATTCTTATCTTTTGGGAAAAAGAGAAACCAGGTGCAGAAGCGGAGCATGAGTGTGGGCAGAGAACATGACCACTGAAGCACAGCATCACATGGAGACAGTTAAACCCCTGATGTCTGTGGGCCTACTTGACGGTGGTAGCACAAGAGCTTGGAGAAGTGGAGTTTTCTCCTAACTTCCCCAGGAAGGAGATGTCTCGGCCATTTTGGACGTCTCCTTCCCTAGCTGGCTAAACATCAGGCGCGTTCCCAGCGCTGGCGCTGCCACACAGTGGAGACACTCTTTAGCAGCCCTTATGCGGGCGTGACAGAGGGCTTAGAGCATCTTGCCTTAGGATCACTTTGTTCACCATGTCACCTCAGTTCCATGATTGACAACACGATAATCATTAGTAAACTCAAAAGGTGATACTGAGCATATATATGTGAATAACTATATGATTATATATGGTTATATATGCATATAGGAATAACTATGGAGCTATATCTCCAATTCTTTTTCTAGCTCTATATTTATATGGAAACAGGTTGAGGCTTCAGAACCTTGCCTCGGCACTTGCGGGGTCTCCCATGGGGTCTCCCACTCACAGTAGACCAATTAGGTAGAAAGAAAAGTGGATAACAGGGGCAGATTCAGATCTTGTGGGGCCTTAAGTTGATATACATTTGGTAAGTGGGGGCTCCTTGAGAAAAAAAATAATAATTTTAGATAAAAAAGTAGGTACACAACTGAATACATGTTTAGTCTAAAACCAATCACAACATTATACATTTTTAAAAGTTGAAAAATATTACAAATAATGCAAAAATTTAAAGTAATATTTTAATTAAGTGACTGCCAGCCATACTTCTTCATACTTTTCCCCCCTACATTATATGACTATGTACATTTTTTTTTTAATGATGAAAAGATGTACATATTAGCCAGCTGGACTCAGTTTAGATGATCTCAATTTTCCTGGCAACCTCCTTAGCATCGTAATCAGGAGCAGTCGAACATATGCCTTCTCTCCATCAGGCCAAATCGGGGTGTTGACCTTGGCCACATCAATGTCATAGAGCTTCTTCACAGCCCGTTTGACCTGGTGCTTGTTGGCTTTAACATCCACGACGAACACAAGTGTGTTGTCTTCTGTCTTCTTCACTCTGGACTCAGTGGTCTGAGGAAACTTGACAATAGCAGAGTGGTCAAGCTTGTTTCTCCTGGGGGTGCTCTTCCGAGGATATTTGGGCTGCCTTGGGAGTCATAGTGTCTTGGGCTGCCGGAAGGTGGGTGACCTGTGGATCTTCTTTATTTTTGTGGCTGTGGATCCCCTTTCAACACTGCCTTCCTGGCCTTCAAAGCCTTTGCTTTGGCTTTGGCTTTAGGAGGGGCAGGAGCTTCCTTCTTCGCCTTTGGCACCATCTTGTTAAAAGGGTTGGCTATGTAATCTTTAATTATCTCTTCATACGATGATAGTTTATAATATTTTCTAAAGAGAATAGAAAGATAATTTTGTTTTTTCTCTAGTGTGTTTGATCAGTATTTGCTTTTTATTAGTGATAATTCAGAAAAGTTATTTTTCACCTGCACAGTTCATTGTTGGTTTTATATAAATACATGTATATCTATATATATGTTTAGTATTTTTGTCAAATTTCAGAAAACTCTTAACGAATATCCTTTTACATAGGTATTTCATGGCATTCTGCATTTTCTTTATTTTAGTTTTTGAGACAAAGTCTTGCTCTGTTGCCCAAGCTGGAGAGCAGTGCAGTGGTGTGCTCTTGGCTCACTGCAGCCTCTGCCTCCCAGGTTCAAGCAATTCTCCTGCCTCAGCCTCCT